ACTTTTCTGGTTTCAAGGTTCTACATCTGATAATTTGTTTAAAGAATAAACATAACTAATTTTACGCAAAACATTCACTGATAATTTCGCATTTTTTTCCTCTTTTCTCTTTTGACATTCTAAAAAATTATAGTTATAAATTAGAATTGCAAATTATATATACAGCCTACTACATTTTATTTAATTGCGATAAGAGACCGAGAGTTGTGTTCACACAAATAATTGGACAAATCTTAAAGTTCTATACGAGATATACGCGTAGTCTGTAATTCACAAGTCAGAAAACTGTATAAGAGAGTCAATGTCAAAGATAAAGATAAAAAAATGTGATTCACGCTGTTATTACGCTGCATAGTAAATGGCGACGTTAATTGCTCGGAGTAAAAGAGCTCGCAATCGGAATTATGAAATGTCTACTTTCTTAGATATTGCAGTTATTCATTTCAGAGGAGTTGGAAAGGAAGCGTGCGACATTTTTCCTATGAAGAAATATCAAATTGAAAGGCCAATCTTAAAAATATATACGTGAACGTATAAATCGTACAATCGATTGATTAGAGCCAATCAATTCTTATTCGCAGTGATGAGTTATACAATAAATTGTATCGATACTAAATATAGAAAAAGTTTCTTTCTCTTTCTCTTCTCCTTTTTCTTCTCATATTCTAAAGTGAAATCATGCTACAATTCTTTTTACTATTGTAAAATAATTTTTTATTCATCCTTACATTTTTTATATATCTCAAGGAGCTTCTCTTCACTAAATAAAATTTATTTATTTATTCTCTCCTTTCGTCAAATAATTATGTGAAAGATTAAATTTAATAGTAGCAGAGTAAATAATAAACTAAGGTAATAAACTAAATTTAAGGAAATTTTACATTGAAAGAGGGGAAGAATGGTGCTCGTGTGCGTACGATAACGGTTTTATCTAAAATATATGTATATATAAGGGTTCTCTGCTCAGTCGACATAACTGTTGTATTACTTGCGATAATCTAATTAAACTTATACCGTAACTTTCTCAATTAGTGCGACTATTGACTTACTCGCTTCGTCAAAATCGCGTTCGATCCACCTTCAGTATCATCGTCTGCCATTCGTTCACATGTAACATCCATAGATCTGCTCTATTCACTTTGTACTTTAATCATAAAAACAAAATCTGCGTTCTTTTTAATTGCATTTCTTTTATATATCTTAATTATGATAACAAACTATATTTTTTCAGTATTTATAACATATTGCATATAATAAACATTAAATAATGTACATTAATATATGTATTTAACGAATTATTAAAAATTCTAATAATTCCAAAATTATTTAGTTATTAGAATATATAATATATAATATATATAATCACAAAATCATTTAGAAACAGATCGTGATTGTATATTTCTAGTATTAACAACTTGTGATAATAACATGCTAATTCCAATTAATTTCAACAAATGACTATATCTTAATCTGTCACAATTTCAATATATAACGTAAGTTACTAGAAAAGAAGCATTTATATATCTATTAAAATGCAAAAAAACTATAGTTTAAAATAAAAAATATAATTTAAAATAGTATAAAAGAAAAAAAATATTTGATAAGCGCTATTTTATTTTCTAAAAGTTATCTTTCTCAAAATTAATAAGATCAATAATGTAATATGGATAATAACGAGAATATTTTCAATTAATGACGTGACATTTTCAATTAATTTTGCATTTAAATAATTAAAATTCAATTAAAAAAGTTTGTTTAAAGATTGAAATTATAGTATATTGCATATATGTTAAAAATATTAGAATGTAATTTGCAAAATACTGTTGAAATATCACATGTTGTGTATTGAGTACTACTTGTTGAAAGATAATTTAAAATTCATTTATGAATATGTGTGTTATTAAGTATTTATAGTTGTTTATATATTTATAATATATATTATTAAGTATTTATTTGTCAGTATATATTTATGTAAAAGCACAATATGTACAGAAGTATAATATTGTGACAATTAATATAATTAAATTTAATTCAATTAGTAAAGTTTACAATTACACATAGTAGGAAAACGTGAACTTTGATTTTATTGTAATAATTTTTATTAAAATTGAAAATCATTTAATAAAATCTCTCACTTACTAAAACCGCTAAAAGAAAAAAACAATGTTTTTTCTACAACGATATCTGCAACGAGAGAATCAGTAGTGATATTCCTCAAATTGTTATTAAACAGTGTATTAATATTCATAGGTGCAATAGCATTTTTTTGCCGAGAAAAGTTTCAAGAATGACGCGTAGCAATTCGTTTACCGGATTATTTAATACCGTATCATTATATCATAAATATTATACTGCCGTAGAATAAACTAGAAATAATACACTTCTTTGGCAGATGTTCTGTTAATATCAAAATTGATCGTCTAATGCACCACATTAATTTGCACGCACAAAAACTGTAAATAAAAATTAATTAAGCAGTTTTAAATAAAAATGATTTATCGAGGGAAGAAAAAATACATTATTTCCCAAAAAATATTATACATATAACAACGAAGTTACATTCTTGTCTCTCATTTTGCCGAAGAAATATCAAATGAAGATTACTTCTTCATTACGAAATTCGATGGTAGTATAAATGAAGGCATCCTTTTCAAAGAATTCGCATACAAATAAGGAAAAAAATAAAATGTAAGTAAGTAAAAATATTCTAAATTATATTTTAAAATACTCATGGAATTTTTTTGTTTATTTGATATTTTAGAATGTATAATAACGGATATAGATTTGCGTTAGTTACATATCTGCTGCCATTTGAACAGAAAACACATCTCTCGACGCATATTTTGCAAAAATAATTTTCTGTTTTTTTTCTTCCACGTGATATTAAAATGGTAAAAAAACAAATTATCTGAAGAGAAGAGAGACATAATTGTCGGACTTCATAAGGCTGGAAAGAGTAATAGTCATTTAAACACAATTTACCTAGGTGGCCAAATACTTTTGAGCGGTAGTATATAATATATAATTTTATGTTAATTTTATGTGAATTATGTATATATTTACTTTGAGTTAAATGTTTATTACTAAATAATTAATGTTTTACTCTATTTTTATATTTGAATATGTCTATATTTGTATTTATTATTTTATTGTAAAAGTCTAAACGTTTCTTAAATATTAAACAAACATAATTACATGTAAAAGAGATATTATAAAGATTATAAAATAAAATTTTACAAAGTTATAATATATGCACATCATTCAAAGAACTTTGCATAATGAGAAAAATGGAAAATTTTTAATATTTTAATTTAGAAAATGAAAAGTTTTTTATACATATTCTAATATTATATAATACAAAATTTAATTGTGCGATTGATTTTGCTCTCTTATAAATTATAAATTATAAATAAAAAGTACACATATATGTACTTTTTATTTAAAATGTAGAAAAGCTTTTTGTTATTATTATATTTTTATTTAAAAAAAGAGAGAGGGATAAATGTCTGCTTTTAAATATCTTTTAAATTAATTGTGAGATTAATAATATGCCAGGATAAATATTAACTCAATTTTTCTATATGTTTAAACTACAAATCAATTTATTTTGTGTTACTTATTAAGAGATATTTTAAATTGTTGACTTATTTTAAGTTTTTTATTAATAGACATTTTTTTATTAGTGCACATATATATCACTTCTTTATAAATGAATAATTATTTTATGAAAAGTGTTTATAATATCTTATTTTGTTACATATGTGTATAAAATTAAATGTTTCTAAACTCTACGTACGGTTATGCAAAAATAGACTGTGGTAGAGAAGTCTTGATTATATTCTCAAAGTAGAAGTAATGAGATCTAGAAATATATATTATATATGACAAAAATTCTATATATTATTTAATCATAAATTATTGAACGAAAATTATATATTACTTGTTATATTTTTCTATATTCTTACAAAATTTGCGGAATATTTATCGCAATGAGAGATTATATGTCATGGTTCTCGAAAACTTATCAAAAAGCTTTTCGTTTCCAGATTCCAAAACTTTAATATTATTAAGATATAATATATCTTTGTTAAAATGTAATATATCTTTATAATAATCTTTATAATAATATATCTTTGTAAAAATGTTACATATTATATATGTAACCTATACATATATGTACATATATATATGTGTATATGCATATATGTGAACATGTAAGTGTAGGAAATTAAATGATTTGATAGAGAGAGAGGGGGGAAGGAGGGGGGGGAGAGAGAGAGAGAGCTGTTTTATGAATATATCTACCTACATTATATTATTGTAAATACATCAATGATATTATGATATGTGCATCTTTTTAAACTCTTTGCTTCATTTTATTTGTTCAATCCTCGCATTCACAATTTTTAATGGTCGATTATTTCGCAATAAATTTTTCATTTCGTAATGACTAAAATCAAAAGGAGATGAAAGATAATAATTAAAAATCAAGAGGTATGAATATTTCTATCTCTTAGATTTGCTGAAAAATAAGTCCAAATAAAAAAAATCAAAATATGCAAATTTATTACATATATTGATACCTAATAATAATCATGAAAAAGTTTATTAAAGTCAATCTGCATTTTTATATTAGTATAGAAGTACTAGCGTAATTTAATATGATTTTATCATTGACATCTAAATATTTAGATGTTAATAACGTATCGAATAGTATCGAAATACAATTTCACAAACATTTTTCGAATAATAATTTGAAATAATCGCAAAGTAAAAAAAAGAATTCTTGTGTATGTGGCACCCTCGGACGAAAATTTTATTTATCATTTGACCAAACATCGATAACTGAAGAAATTAATTTATCGACAATCGGGGCCAAGAATCGAATGTAGATATGTATCAAATTAAAAAATACATATAAAAAAGTAGAAATTTTTAACGTTCATTATATCGATAAGAATAATCGTGAAATATCACTCGACAGGAGCAACAAAAAAAAATAAATGCGACGAATTTACGTCCGATTTTCTGTCGCATCTTATTCGCCATGTTAGTCATGAATCCACAGTTTCATCTCGTGATATCTCGACACGATAAACAAGATCGTTCATTCATAAATAATACCGGAATCGCTTTTATTAGACGATGTTTCATTATTGTGAATAATTGACATTATTTCGAGTTATCGAAACATGGCAGAGCACAACGTCGACAATAGCAACATCGACAGATCAGAATTCGAGATGAGGCAGAGAACAATTGACAGGGCACCTTTTCGAAACTTGAAGATTGATGACTCCAGGATATTAAATACGCTCGAGGGTAGAAGAAAGTGCGAACTCTGTTGTAAGTCGCGCAAGTTCTTCTGTTACACCTGTTGCGTGCCTGTCATCGACAATTCGTATTTTCCACGTGTAAAGGTAGGTCGATATGCACGACTAACTTTGCTTAATTCACAACAAAGTTTGACATGTGGTTTGTGCCTTTTAGCTGCCAATTAAAATCGACATTATTAAGCATGCTCATGAGATAGATGGCAAGAGTACTGCTATTCATGCTGCGATACTTGCGCCAGAGGACGTGAAAATCTACATATATCCTGATTTTCCAGATATATCGAGTAAAGAGGAAGTAAGAGGAAGAGTAACAATCTATTCTCAAGTCTTGCGATTCTTACGAGTAATTATTAACTTGAGGAGCTGTCATCTCTTAGACCGTTTTAATTTTTCCTAGCAAAAGTGCGCAGACTGTAAGTGTGGAGGCTCTCTTTACAAACAGAAAAAGTAGTAGTTTGGCAAATAGAACCGAGGTATTTCCTATAAAGAGAGCAATTTTCATCGACAGCACGTGGCAGCAAACCAAAGCAATATATAAAGACCAAAGATTGAGAGGTATACATTCAAAGGAAAAGAGAATCCATTTTCTATATAATTGAACAAAGAGAGAATTGTTTAAGTTACTGTAAAAATTATAACTTTTACAGAATTACGCTGTGTTATTTTGAAATCAAGGATCTCGCAATTCTGGCGTTACCAGAAGAAGAGTCCAAGATGGTACCTGGCGACAATTGAGGCAATTCATCAATTTTTAGTGGAGCTACACACGTGTGCTTACACGGAAGGCTATCCTGATATACATAGTTCTGTATTGAATGGAAAACAGAGCTCTGTAGTTAACAGCAAGAAAACGGAAGAGTGTGCCGAGATTACTCAAAAGTATCACGGAGAATACGACAACCTTTTATACTTTTTCAAATATATGTACGACAAAATTCACTCTATATACGATCACGATCAATTGCAGGCCTACAAAAGGCCACTCGCGTGAAGCTATTTTCTCTTAAAAACTTTCTTAATAAATTCCCTTGCATAGAAAAAGAATTACAGTCGAACAATGTTTTTATCATCTCTACAGATTACATTTATCCAAACTCAAGATACATCGAGAATATCTCTTATAATTCAATACATCGCGAAACGTCAAGGGTCAAAGAACACAGATTAGACATAATATTGTTATTCTATCTCGAGATACTCGAGGATATTTTTTTTCCAAGTATATACATATGAGCGATAAATTATATTTTTTAGAAAGAAAGAGAGATATCTTCGCGTTTTACTCGCGTGGGATACAAGTCATTTCTACGCGTTCGTATTCCACGCAATGCGTCGTGCGATAAGGTAAACAAAGACATCCTCGCGCCGGCAATCGATGTTTACCTTCGTGCCGGGAGAGGGAAAGAGGAGGGAGGGGGGGACGCGGCTCGGCGCGCGGAATGGCTCCAAACACGAGGGTGGGGGGAGGCGGCACGGCGCGAGCGGCGCCATCTGACGTCAGCTGGCGCGCTCCCCCCCTCCGCCGCCCCACGCGCCCCGACGTCGTCGCGCGCGGCCGTGGCGCTCTCGCGGCCGCCTGCGATGAGTTTAGTTTTGAAAACAAGGGGCCGATCGCCGCTCGCCGCGCTACGTCGTCGCCGTCGTCGTCGTCGTCGCGCGTAGACGATCGCAAGAGACGCGGTCGCGGGTCGTAAACGTTGCCGTCGGGAGTCTCGCGTGCGGTTCTTCTCATCCGGCCCTTCGCGTCCAGCCAGTTTTATTCACCAGACATATATCCGTCCGTCCCGTACCTCTGTCTCTCTCTCTCTCTCTCTTTATCCTCTCCCTCTCCCTCGGCCATCCTTAAACGACTCCTACGCTTCTGGCGTCTCTTTCGTGCCCGTCGTCGGTCGAAACGTAACGTGGTGAAAGAATGGACGCCCTTCGGGAGCAGGTGATGATCAATCAGTTCGTACTGGCCGCGGGCTGCGCCAGGGAACAGGCCAAGCAGTTGCTACAAGCGGCACATTGGCAATTCGAGGTAAGGAAACGGGAGGTGGCGAGGGCAAGGGGGGTTGCGAGAAGATGAAAAACAAAGAGAGAGAAGCAGGGAGTCTCGATGCGAGTGTCTTGTGGGAGCCCTTTCTGATGTAGATGTATGTTAATGTCGCAAAGGCGCGGGGGACGTGAAGAGTATGTTCCCTGTATGTTTCCTGTCTGTGTGTACTACACCGCTACGTAAACAAAGCGACGAAAATGGCCGATGCTCCTCGCGCGACGACGTTTCGGCCGAGGACGATTCGGCGGAGATTCGCCAACCTGGAGATCGATCGGCCTCCTCGAGCACGCGATCGTGTTGTCACATCAATATCTTGGTCATCCTCGCGAGGCGTCAATGAACGCGCGACCTGCTCGCTTCATTCATAAAAATGTTGCGCGATTAACGCCACGCGACCGAATGCGTAAATTTGGAGAAGGAAAAGGTGAAACGAACACGACTTCTCGTCGAAGCCGTCGTAAGATTCGTGTAATTTTTTGCCCCGTGTTTTCCGCGTCCTTATCAGATAACGGCGCTACAGTCGTCGTAAACGTAATATATTATCGAATAACGAATGTAAATAATGCGTCGCGTTTTCATCATCGGTTTAAATACCGGTTTCTCTCCTGCTTCGACGAGTCTCTCGTTCTTCAAAAATATCCGAACCAGAACGGTTAAAATTCACCAGGATGTATACTTCAAAAACCTTGAACACTTGGTATTCTCAGCGACTTTTTATTGTTTTATTTTGAAGGAAATTCTCGTGGAATTTTACTGGGATTCAGGAAACTTTTCTTTTGAATTGATAATTTTGTTTTTATGTTGTTTGATATTTATGTTAATCTATAAACAGCTTTAATTTTATAATTCTGAAAAGATTGTGTATTTATAGTAGCTTATCTAATCTTGTGCAATATTTAAATGTGGAAATCTTATGTGATTTTATTTTTTTCCTTATCTTTTGTATTATTTTAAAAATGTTATATAACTATATATATGTAAATATAACTATTTTAAAAATATTTGTTTTATGTATTTAAATAACATATTGTATATATACAACATTTCTTAGTAGTCTATGTTTTTAAAGTTTAGACAATATTTTGCTGTATGTTGTCCAAATTACTATGTTTCAATATTAAATATTAGAGTTACTTTGTAGAATAAAAAATGTAAATTCTTTATAGAATAATTATTTTAAATTTAATTATTGATAAAAAGTATCCAATCTTTTCAATTTAAAATATATTAAAATATATATTTCATTTATGTTAAAAAATCATAATAAATAAACTTATTTTAAAATTATTTTATCTAAAAATACATCAATTCTACCTGGAATTTTAAAGAAAAATACCTGAAAAATCGAATAAATCATAGAATTTATTATAAATTTGAGTATACATCCTGTTTACTTTCCCTATGTATGTATCTACGAAAATTGATCTCCGCTAATTATATCATTTTCTTTGCGGTAGGACAGTTTGTTTTCTTTCGCTTAGTTACTACGTAATCTCTTGCGTAGCTATAATATCTCGATTTGCGATCGGTCTCGACATTGCGCAATAGGATTATATATCATCTCTCTCTCGTTGCTGATTCATCAGCGATATACTGATACTTCCCTTGTATTTCCTCGATATACGGTATCGCATCCAGTATCGGCCTATGGGTATTGTGCGTCAAACATCGGACAATTTATGACCGCGATTTACAATCTTTCTTTTAAGATAACGCACAAATTTTTTTCCATTCTTTAGGGCTTGTCATTCTCGTGCAAAATAATACACAATCGTGTCCTAATCGCCGGACGAAAGGGATCGATAATTACTATTTACGTTACGAGTCACGCGGTACATTGTGTTTTTTAAGCGGTCGTCGTCGTCGTCTTGTTATAAAATATGTATGTACATTATATGTTTACAATCAGGAGAAAGAGAGAGAAAGAGAGAATTTTGTGGGCGTTAAAAAACCGGAATTGGTGTAATTTTGGCAAATTATTCGAATCTCCAGCGAGCATGACTCATATTTATTCGTGACAGATCACATATATTGAGATAAATGTCAATGTTTCCATATTTACGTTAAAGAATTAAACTCATTTAATTTTTAAATCTGATTAAAAATCAAAACAAGTTTTATTTTCGTAAACTTCTAATTTGATCGACGAATTAACTGCTTATTAGCTTTATTAGTCTATCAAAAAATAACTGTCGTTCTGTCGAAATTATTTTTTTAAAAATCTAAATAATCTTTTTTTTTTTTTGTTTAACACATGGAAAGAGAAAGATGTAAGATTAAGAATATTCAATATATAATTTGAAATTTTGCTATAGCCGTGTTTACTTTAGTTAAATTAATCATAATTCAATTAATCAGTTAATTCAATCGAAATTTTAAATTAGAACGAGGAAAAATCGTTACGTTCTAGTTACTTTGAACGTAATGATTTTTCATTTATTCTGAGAATACGATGATACGAAAGATGAGGAAAAAGCAAGATTAATATGTAATAACAAGCAAATACATAATATTCTTTTTTTCAGCAATAAATCTGGCAAAATGTATGAGATTGATTGTTATTAAAATATTATAACGAAAATATAATTATTACAATTGTTTTACAATATTTACGATTGTTTATTTTCAAGATTATTGAGCCGAACATCACGTGTAAGATTATCGACTCCTTATCTTATGATCTGGTTTCTTTGTAATCTTATTTTTTTAAATTTTAGGTCACATTATGATGTAATCAGAGAGATAACGAGAGCGTGACTTTGCGCTCCGACTTATGCTATACTAATTGCATTATTATTGTTATTATGAATTTTATGAAAGAATAAGAAGAATAGAGACAGAGAAAGAGATAGACGCAGAGAGAAAGATAACATTGCGATACACTAATACATGCTAATGCATCATTGTGATTAAAGTTTAACACGAGGAATCTTTCTGTGTGCTTTGTGACCACAATGTAAACAATGCGGCAACGTATATTTATACACACCGCAAGGAACGCGTCTCCTCTCCTCCTCTCCTCTCCTCTCCTCTCCTCTCCTCTCCTCTCCTCTCCTCTCCTCTCCTCTTCTCTTCTCTCTTCGCCTCGTGTCAACTCAATGTAACGCGACATACAGGGTGTCCACGTTTTATATCTCAAGTACAACATGATAAGAATGTGTAAGATTACTGCTACCGTTTCTCTCAGATATCGATAAATATTTATATTTATATCTCTTGCAATCATAATTTTAAACTTCTTTATTATAATTATAATTTGAGATTCCTTTCTAATGAATGACACGTCGTATATATATCAAATTTATATGCCGTTAAAATTATACCGATTTTAATCCACGGACGGCTGTAAGATATGTAGATAACATGTTACAGCAAATTTTCTCCATTCGAAAACTTTCTCCGCTCGAGCGGAGTGCTGCATTAAAGCGGAACCACACTATATATTTGAACTTGAGGCTATTTTATTCACTTGTTTCTTACTCAGCCGATTAAAGTCCATCATCAGTCAAATAATTCAATCGTAGGAGTAAAAATACAAGTACCTCTGAACTTTGTAATTGCGATGTTTCTGGAAAAACAAAAACTGCTAGCGATTTTAAGAGAGAGTTTGATATATTGAGTATTATATTATACAATTGCGTAATTGCATCGATAATTATTATTCTTTTTGTTTTTACATCGATTAAATTATGCGATAATTTTTTAAAATTTTAATTTGTGATTTGTTTGGACGCATGAATGTTTACTGAAGGAAAATTAAAATCGCTAGTTTTATTCATTCAATTATCTTGTTCTAAATCATTCAACTATTTCCATTTTATTAAATATAAATTATATAATATATCCATTATATTACATGTCAACTATTTGTTGTATATCTTGCACTGCAATTTTTTTCTTTTAATTTCCTCTTTTTATTGTTAGGATCTGAAAGAAGTTACTTTTGTTTCATTTTTTTTGCATACTTTTAAAAATGTCAATAAACACACAGCTGAAAATAACAGATACAATGAACACCCACCTCTATACAGCTTTTACGTATCCCTTTCGCTGCAACAACGTTCTGATCGAAATATGAAACGCGTTTCTTAGCAGACCAGCCTATTACATTCTTATGCTAATGTCTTTAATATATCCGACTATCGAGTATCACCGGTGTTTTAATTAAACACCGGTTGGTTGAATGTCATGGTGTATTGTGTAATGCATTCTGCTTATAACAGGCAACAAACTAGTTAATTCTGGCTTAGTTCATCAACGATATTACTCTGATAAAATTTTATTTTATTTCATTGTTAAAATTATTATGTAACATTGTGTATATGTGTGTATAATTGTCAGACGCATAGAAAACAACAGAACAGTCTGTTTATGGATAATTATCGTTATATTAATAATAATTGATAATTGACGTAGTGCTCTGAGACCATCATGTTACAATATTGTTATCAGCAATTATCGGATGGCTCTTGGACAGAGTGCGATGGTATGGATATCCGATATCGGCTTCGAGCGCAAGGATCGGATATCGATACAATAAAGCATCGGATGATACTGACGAAGCAGCTTACGATTACGAGATATTGCAACTGGCAGTTTAAGTAATGACAGAGGATCACAGATTGTACATATAACAAAGATTTCTCACTCGACCCGATTACATCGTCTCTCTATCTCGCTGTTCCTAATCATAGAGATGACTGCACGATCTCTTGCCTTCGATCAAGAACAACACGCTAAAATTAGAAACGCAAAGATATTCTGTAATCTTTGTGTCAATATTTTTTACTACTCGAGTGTAACGATAGAGAAGTCTAATAATAGAGAGCAGAAGATCGAAGAGATAGAATACTACAAAGAATTCTTTTTTTATAAATCGAGTTTCTAGATATTAGAAATAAATTTTATTTCAAGTCGAATATTATTTTAATAGACGTAATTTAAGTTATTTAAAATTTTCATTCAAATTATTTAAAATCTTCATTCAAAATGAATAAATTTATCATTAATTAAATCTATAAATAGAGAAAAACAAGTTTCGGTTTTTTTTTCCAATTTTTTTTCTCCACATATTTAATATCTTTATATTTTGATTGTTACAAATTGATTCTTTTTATTATTTTTTACTCTTTAGATGATAGATTTAAATTAACCAGTATTATTTTAAATGTAGCTCGCATTCCAGTTGACTATATGTATAGTTATGTAATTACTATTTTTAATTATGTAAATTCTTTAAAGAGAAATTGAAATTAAATTTGAATAAATTATTTTCGAAAATTTAAAATATAAGAAATTTAATTTAAAAAAATATTATATTTAAAAAGACAATGAGAAAAACGTTTTTCTTCCAACTTTTTTTTTATTTAGAAAAAAATGGCTTTTGTACATCTGTATTACACACACGAAGTAGTTACCAATTTCAAGTTCATCATTCAAGGATCAAATTCCGATTAACTTGATCGATAATATCTTCAGTATTTTGTGTCAATATAAATATAATTGAATTGAATATTTCGTCATTCAATGCAAGGAAAGAAAGATTATATAGCTGGAAACTGCTACAGGCAATTCTGTCCGTTAAATTAATTGCCGATTAAATTGATCGGAATTTGATTGATGGCTTTCTAAATCGTACCAGTACTAGTAAAAATGCCTGTTTATTTTAAGACACTACCTTTATCATATGTTATAAATCGATCGTGTCTTTTTTTGTTGCAGACCGCCCTCAGTATTTTTTTCCAAGAGGCGGCGATACCTTCCTGCGCGCAGGGAGCCGGCACCCACTTCGGCCAAGTAAGTCCCCCCGCATCGTTCACTTGTGGCGTGACTGACGAAAAGCATGTAAGACGGTAACCATGTTCTATATCCGTGCACTCTGTGCAATCAATGAGTTCTATTTCCGCGTCGGCGAGTCGCGTCGTCTTCGGTGCCTCGCCTCGCCTCGCTTCCTTTAGAACTGTACATGTATATGTGTATATTCCTCGTACAAGCACAAAACTTGAAATAAGGGGGGCCCTGAGAGAACGGTCTTTTGTACGAAGATTATATTCTTGTAACACGCGAAATTACGCTTTGACGTGATACAAGTCAAAAATATCATTGCATTTTATCCACATGTGGGTCATGAAAGAAGTGTAAACGGATATTTTTATACGCTTTTGTTTTTATCAGCTAGGATTCCTTATCATCGATTCAGATTGCGCGTTAATATTTTGAGTTGATACATATATAAAACGTGATGTAATCTCTGTCAAAATCAATATTATCTATAACAATATTGATTTCGGCAGAGATTACATCACTTTGTCGAGGAAGACCCGTTCTAAATTATCCAAAGGTTTCACCTGCAAAGTTCAGCCATTTATTTTCAGAATCACACTCCATATATATTATTCGTACACATGGAAATATTTATGCTTTTATTTGTCTTTTTGCTTACCAATTTCCTGACGAGATCCAATTGCAACGAATTTGATACATCGCTCTCTCTTTGAGCGTTTTTTTTTCTTTTCCTTCTTTTCGGTAGTTTCACATTAAAAAAAAAAATGTTGCTGATGCAGACAGGTAAATTTTTCGACGTCACAATAAAAATATATCGCTACTTTTTGTTTCTGTTATAACGTTGTTTGCGACAGAATTTATTTGGGTAGAATTTATATCAGCAAACTCTAATAATACTTTCTAATAAATTTAAATTCCATTGGCAAATATTAAACACTACATTGGATAAATACGAGTTTCAAGATGACTAGCTAGAATGATAAATATTTTTTCCTGCGTGTCACAGATAAACTTTACAACAAGTACAATTAGTGTTAATATGGACAGACGTCAGAGTTTGTTTTTTTTTTTTTCTAAATTTCATTACTAATTCAGCTATAAATGTTTCCTCACATTTAGATTAATCAAGTGCAAAACACACATGTCATGCGTCGTATAATATTTGTTAATTATTCACTTACGTCAGTTAATTTTTCACAATTTAAAATTATTGCTGCGAGACGATTTTTTTTTTCGAGTAGCACGTAATCTGACGTAACGTGGTTACGCGTTAAAAAAATATTCGTGGCAGAGCGAGTCGCGTGGGCCGGCTGGGTACGTTCCCATCTTATTGATTATTCAAAAGTAGGTTCACATACAACGAGCGGCGAGAGATCAGGATCGGGGAAAGGGGGGAGAGGGGGAGGCGGGTTCCAAAGTGATAAATACATCGGGTGCGGGCCGATTCACGAAACGTGTTCTTCCTCCTCTCGTCGCGTCATTCTAATGTGCATAAACACAGGAGGAAAATCGATTGTAGCGCGTGTCTGACCTTCACGGGGTGACTGCCGCCCCTTCCGCCAACTATTTATGTCGCTCTCTGATTAATTACCCGTTCTGCCTCTCTCTCTCTCTCTCTCTCGTGAGTATCTTTATTCCGTATAATTTTATACATAGGTATACAAGGTCGCGTCTATAACAGATGATGATGACAGATTGAGATGTACGAGAGGGAAAAGGAAAGAGACTTTGATTATATATTACGTTTTATCTTCGGCCTGTCATCTGCAGCCAAAACAGCAATGGCACAGAGTCTTCTGGGTAGATTCCTACCGCGTGCTCTCTCTGGCTTGCGCGAATGCACGATTTGATATATATTGTAGTTTATTCTGGTAACCTGGCTCTCGAGATTCGCGTGATCTGCCATTTATTCTTGCCTCGTGATCTCTTTTCTTTATAAGGTTCATTGCTCCATACAAAGTGTTCATTAATAAATACGAGTGGAGAAAATTCCTGTAAGAAATTGAAATATCTTCTTGAAATTGAACGTAAATAATAACGTGTATAATTTTCGAGATGCGACTGATCAAAATAAAAATTTCGCGCTTTAAAGAAATATGTAAATCGATAAAATAATAAAAATCGAAGCGACTTGGGAACTGCGTAAGATCATTTGATTGAATTGAAAAAGAATCGTGTTAGCTTCCGAAGAAAATAAATTTTCTGTTCACCAAATGTATCTGTTATCTAACATACTGTATATGTTACTACGGCAAAGTTACTGCATTCTGATATATTTTCTTTCTTTAGCGTTCGAGTAAAGAAATTTATATTCAGACGAAAAGAGCAAAAAGGTGAATCAATAATTTTCGATAATGATAATATACTTCGCTCGTATTTTATATCTTCAAAATATTAATATAGAATAATGTAATAAATTGAATTGGGAAAGTTTTTTAGCTTCTGAATTTTCTAAAAATTATCAACGAGAAAATTATTAAAATGCCGAATAAAAAGAATACCAAGATTAATGATATTAATGAGAAAAGCATATTAATATAATAATATAATATAATATATAATAATGTAATATAATAATAAAAATAATTATCTTCTTCATGAAATTTAATTAATCGTTAATAAAGAAATCAAAGATCTGATAGTCAGGCTGGGAAAACCAAATCTAAAGATAACACACACAGAGATATGAAGATCATTGACTCCTACTTTTAGCTCGTGATAGCAAAACTAAACCGATGATGGTGATACAATCTCGAGACAAGACACAAAGGAGAACCGCTGTCGACGAACGTTAGTGGTAGGTGTAGTTACTATTCTCGGTCGGCACATTCCGATAAGTGTGTGCCAAATCTCGATTCGCAAGACTGGACGGACATACACTGCTTCCAGATGACAATTCTTTTATTTTTTATTAACGCATCTGCCTTCCAATCGGTTCCACATTTTTATCGCAAGCTACTTTTATTCTCAAGTTATTTTAAAATAACAAGAGTATTAGTCATGTAAAAATATATGACTGCATATATGACTTTAAATTGTAACATTTGATTTTGCATTTTTTTCTGCTTCATATATTATTTATAATTTGATAGATGTATCAATCTGAAATTTAGATTTGAAAATATTAAGGAAAAAATCTATATATGTTTATAGAAAACTTTTAAATTTACCTGACAAATAAAAACAACCTACTCTTTGCACAAGTATGATAAAAATATATAATTTAAAAAAGCGAAAGTCACAAATTGCAAGATCTGAGAGATTTTCCATGAATTGAACGAGCGAAGGAACGTATGCATGTATTTAGTCCTTTCACTTTTTATTTTTTTACAATGACAATTGAATTGCACAATAGTAGAAATGCAACAATTATTTTTATTGTTCACAAAAAAGAGGAAAAAAAAGAAAATGTTTTCATAGTGAAATATACATAGAGCACAAAAACGTATCCTATATACATTTCGCATAAATATACAATCTTTCGCAATATTTTATTATCAATTTAAATGTAATCAATGTGAGATTTATCGAAATATACTCGATAAATCGCCTCGTCTAATGAGAGGAACCGCGTTCGATTGATTCTAATTCATTCAATAAAATGTTAAAAATACGAAAGCAACATGATCGACTATGAAAGAGCATGAATAGCATTGCAGCGAGCGTTATTTAATAGCCGCTTATCGGTCATGGGTTATCATCGCGACTGGTGGCCGTTGCCTACATGTGTTGCCCTTGTATTCTTTGATCACCCGTCTACCTGTCTGCCTGACGTCACATGCAGGAGTCGAAAGTTCAACGAACTCATTGTAGCTAATGGTCTTTCAAAGACCCGATAGTTTTTCCTCACTTTGAATCTAATCTCTTCGGTCCAAAGTACACGCAAGATTATTTTGTTTTTATATTGATTTATATATTTTTCTTTTTTCAAGAAATGTTTTTGCACAGCTTGATATATTATTTAATTAAAAAAAAAAACTGTGCGTCACTTATAAGACTTGGGAATAAAGTTTCTTGCTTTTTGAGAAAACTTGTATATATCTTTGTCTATATAAAATAATAAAATAATATAACAAGAGGAAGGAGAGCTTATCTAATTATAAAAGTTTAATGTGGATTTTTTCTCTTTTATTTTTTTTTTATTTTTTTAAATATTAATCGAAAAATTTATTTTTTAAAATCAAAGTGTAGCAAATTTGTCATTTTACATTATAAATTGACTTATATTATTACACTCTAAAAAAATTAAAAATTACTTGTTTAATTCTCAATATATTTCTCTTATAATTAGCAAAAAAATTAGTTCAATTCTGAAGATTGGAAGTTAGTGGCAATTTAGAATAAATTCCTGTAAATTTATTTTAATTCAACTACTTTCGCGAGATTGTAAAGAAGGATCTTACATTTACAGATAACACCATGCAATACGCCAGCCACTCCACCGAATTTCCCGGATGCGCTGCTGGCGTTCTCCAAAATGTCAGCCGGTGAAAAAACTCCGTCAGGTAAGAGTTGATTTTGGCAACTTTATACGTATAGCTTTAATAATTTATAAAAAAAAACAAATAATCTCCCAATTCTGTCACTTTCTTCATTTGCGTATATTTCTAATACCTTGCTTTTTTTAAATATATTTTTTGAATAAAATGTCAAGATAGATTACAGCGTATCATACGATTGAAAAAAGACAAAGCATATAATATAAATTAATTTAATCCGTATCTGTGATATATTGGTTTATTATTTACATATACTTATACCGATATCTGTTACAGGCATGTCTCCGAATCAGAACGGATTGCAGGTGAACTCGGCATCGAGTGTCATGCAGCATCATGCCGTTAGCGGTCGGTGTAGCACATCGGGCAATGCGGCGCAGCAACAGACGCAGCCGCAACAGACGCAATTTGGCCTGGGCGAGCCGCAGAGATAAGAGTGACTGTGCTAGTCGCGAGCGCGAAACGTCACGAAGATGACGCGCGATAAAGTTTCCGGAGCGCGAATGGTGCTCCGAGTATGGGACGAGAGAGATTCGAGAATGATTAGACACAGAGGAAAGAGAAAAATTCATTTTTTTTCGAGAAGAAACGCGTCCTTCCTGGAAGAGGGGGGAAAAAAAGAATGAAACTACAGGGAAAAATATCTTTATTGGATTGGAATCGGATTATATATATGTGCTATTGAATTGCTATGTTATCCGCGTATAATAGCAATGTGTGATGCGGTGATTATGTGTGTATGTATGTGTGTGTATGTATTATACTTGTGTAATGTGAGAGTGAGTTTGCGTCGATTTTCTCAACGACACCCATTCGTGTATCACGGAATGATTGCATCGCGATTGCTTTCCTTTCTGGTTTCTCCGAGAAATTATTTAATTTCAAAGAATGGTGCGTTGAAGAATCTGACACACACATACACATATTTATACATATGCACGAAAAGACGAAGGAGAAGAGGTGAGAATTACATCATAGGATTTTCTCCCCTTTTCTCTATCATACCCAGACTATACCGTAGGTCCGAGACGATCAAAAAGACATTGATAATAATTCTGAAGGATCATATTGTGAAGAATGGCTCTCCCGCTCCGAAACCCAACTTCCTTGTCCCCATATAACTATAGACAGTGGCTGTTTCTTTAGGATTCACCGTATACCACCGTTAGACTAGGCAACGAATTTTTCGCTATCACTTCCACGTCACAGTACAAAAGAACTGCAAGAGTTTCTTCGGTTCTCGTCTTGGAAAATCTTTGCGCACTTTTTCGCGAAAGATGATGAGAAAATCGCGTATTTTCAACCTAGATGAAAGACAACGCTGCACCCGAAGATATTCATTTTTGAATCGTGGAACTCGACTGGTTTATGATCCTTTTACTGTTGTCCTAAAATAGAATAATGCTTGCAATTATTCATGCGAACGGCGCGTATTCCGTTTCCGTAAGCACGCCGATACTTCGGTGGTATAAATAAATATATCAGGCTAAGTATAATAAACGAAGATTTATCGTGTAAAAATTTGTAAAAAGGATGTCTCGAATTGTGTAATTCGTTGATTTTACATATAGTAATTAATTACAAGTAAAAAGTAACTAAAATAAAATCCGAGTGATAGAGTATAATAGCTCGAAAAAATTAACGCGTCAAAAGTAATATATCTAGTAATGTTTCCTTTTTTCAGGCCGTTTTTTGCTGTCATGATAAGTGGTAAAGAATTCTCGAGTCGATTATTGTGCCGACTATACGTGTGAATACATAACTAGAAAATATTTGATTTTTTTTTTATCCAACACTAGACTTCTCACGATGTTTATAAATGCTCTTATATGGCAGCTCTGGCAATACGATTTTACCTGATATCATAGTTGTATATCTATATTCCCCCGGAAAATATCGAATTCTATATCTTTTATTACATTTCTCGTCACATAAATGGACAAGCATCTATATGATAAATATATATTTGTTTTCAGACTCTATTTATTCTTTATAATAGCGAATTTATATAGTTATCTCTCTTTTTATAGCTTTTTAGACATCTCTTTCTAATTAAAATAATAATGGAGAATTCTTTATTCTTTATAGTCGATTTTTATATATATCTGACGGCAAAGTGTCTTTACTAAAGCACAATATAATATCCAATTTTCTTATTTTTAATCGTAATAGTGATGGTGATAAAAATAATGATAAAATCAGAATCTAAACTTAACTAATTTAATAATTTAATTTCCAATAAATGCGGTCGAAATTTGAGTATTCGAGGTGTCGAGAATACAGCTTTATCTCTGTGAATGCGCGTTTATGTAAATAATAGATATTAGTTATAAGAAAAAAGAGAACTTTGTGAGTATGGCGAGATATTTTTTTCAATAAGGTACACGCTTTAATACTTTCCTTATATGTGTAGGCTGTATTTAAGATAAAACACTATTGACAAAAACAAAAATGTTTTATTATGTTAAAATTATAATTATTGTTTATTTGACTATTACAAAGAAATAATGGTCGTGTACATAATTTTGAAAAATTAAATAAAATATTAATATTGGTGCTTTCTTAGCCTCGTGGTCTAGTTTTACTAATACCTTTGTACTTTAAAGTTTGAGAGGGAAAGCAGCCGCTTCTAAAATATATTACAAAAGAATTATTATACAATAAACTAAATTATTATATAATTTAACAATAATACGTAACAATAATGTATATAAATATGAATATGATTGGAAGTTTACTTCTTTACGCGCGATAAATTAGACTTTATGTTACATAGCAATAAGATATATTTAAAACTGGTAACTCTATATCGGTATCACTTATGCTGTCAATACTTCTCGAATATTTTATCACTGTATAAAATGTTACATTAATAGTGAGCGTGTTACATTTTCGCGATATAAATAAAAAGTATATATGTACATCGATTACGTAATTATTGCGTACAAAATTGCGTATCTTATAAATTTCAAATTACATTTATTTCGGTGGTATTACATTTATTCCGGTGGTATTTCGACACTTCTACCTAAACCCGACCATCTGTCCGGTACCGGCAGAAAGTAACGATGCATCGCGGCGATGAACCTAGCACGATATTCCTCTGGTGATATTATCGTTGGTAATTTACCCTGGCCTCCCAGAATACCAGATTTCTTCACCATAGTCTCCAGCTTTTTGTCCCAAGTAAACGTTCTTATGTAATCTATCGATTGGAAGAGATAATAATATATAAGACGGACATGAGAAAAAAAGAGATGACGACAATATAGAGTCGCACTTACCTATTATACCTAACACGAGCTCGTCAGAGCTTGGTTCTAAGCCTACTAATAACGAATAATCCATTACAGAGTTGTCCGCTAAAAACTTGGTGTCCTGTTCAATGGCTCGATTTAATACCGCTTTGGAATGTGATCTGATGTATAAAGGAGAGTCGCAGCTCACTAAAATGCGAAACGTTCATTTAATATTTTGCTTGAAAATTCATCTATTTATAAATAGTCGGGGGGGGGGGGGAGAGGGAGACACGTACTATTCAATAGATTCTCGTCCAGCAAGACCAGTTCACCTTCGCACGTGTCGTCTGGATTCACTAGCCGATTCCGTACAGATCCTTTCAAATCGAATTTATCGGTGATGATTCGATTGTAAAACAGATTCTCCATCACCAACACGCTGGTACGAAGTGCCGCGTTAGTTGTATTGTTCTTAAACGACACCCTGTAGACGCCGACAATCTTGCCCAACAAAGTCGGTTGTTTGGTTTGCTGACACTTTTCCATGTAGGCGAAATAGTTGGGCGCGAAATCGAGAAAGATTTGCATTTCGAGTCGAGACATTTCCTTTATAATAAATCTATCGTCTGCAAAAAGAAGAAATATAAATAAAAGATAATTAAATGTATAATTCAATGGAAAGATATTCTTTCGAAGATGCATATTTATATCATGTAAAAAATGTACGTATATGTGCGAAGATCTAATCAAATACTCGACAAGGTATTAAAGTAGTTAAAGTGATAATCAATCGCACCTCTGCTCTTACAAAAGGCACTGCCACTCTTTCCGCCTCTTGCAGCCCACTGTATACTTCGACTGAGACTCCTTGTAAAGCCATCTTCGCCGCAGGGGAGAACGTTGTCTCTTAAAGCGGCGAATTGCGCGGCAAAGTATATCCTGCAGAAGAAATTGGTCGTAGCGTCGTTGAATTGCAGCTCAATGTAATTCTGTTGCTTTATTGTCTTCTTGTCGTCGTCGACGTCGGTGGGACCGACAACGCTGCCGGAAGATTCCACGTTCAACACGTTCTTGTCAGATTCGACCGGGCTACTGGCCGGATTAGGACTGTTGCCGCGGAAGAAGGACAGCACGGATGGCCGCTTGAATTCAATTCCGCCCGATTGCGCCAGATCGAGCGAGCTCTCCCTACCCTCTGGAAATTTACGTTTGCTCAACGGACTGGGATTGAAGTCTGAGCCTTTTGCCGTGCGCAGTAATTCTTGCAACGCATGCTTGTAATCGTGCGAGTCCAGAGCATACGCAATTATGGATGAAAGCTCGGACTCGTAGACGACTATAGGTACCACCGATCTGCAATACACAGGTACGAATTATTTTAAAGATATAGATTAACTATTGCGACGCAATAAAGATAATAGCGAGATTTAATTAAATTACCCGAGCGGCAATAGATAGTGCTCCAAAGGTCCTAATGGATTTGGTATTGTGTGGTTCACAGAAACAGACGGTAACAACTGGGACAAGATGGTCTTCTTCTTCTTCTTCTTATCGGTCATATCATCAGAAGACAGCGGAAAAACATCGGAATGCGATCTTTGATGCATCTTCGGCGATGCATCTTGAACGGTGATAACTTCGTCAGGATTATTGGTGGATTCCAACATCTCGTTGTCGGAATTTTCAATCAATTCGGCTTGAAAGTCACTTTGCACTGCTGTGATCGCATCGATGGCGTTATAATCGGCCGACATGGGACTCGAATCTTCGATCTGCGACTCTGATGCGGTATCCTCAGTTATGTATCCATCGGTATCGACTATATTATTGCTGCCAGTCGTCATCGATCGTTCGGTAAACCGACGCGGTCGTTCGTCTTTCTTTTTGGCTGACATCTCTGACAATTTATTATTCCAGGTAAACACAGCCTCTGAGATGAGTCGTTTGAGGATCACAATGCCATCCTCGATCCTAAACATCAATGCTTGTACTTGCTTCTCGGATACTTTACCCTCGAGCTTCTTATTCTCCAGGGTTGGCGACGTTAACTTGAGCTGAATCTCCTCGATTTTGTTTTTAAAATACTGTTGATCCTTGATTAATTGTTGTTTGGCGAGATTCAGACTCTCCAAGTCTGTCTGCAAGCCCATTAGTTTTTCTCTGATCGCCGAGAACACCTCATCGCCTTTTAACGCCACACTCTTCATCTCCTCAATCACGTTTGCGTGCTGCTTCGGATCATAGATGATGTTGATCAGCGGCGGTGGCAGAGAGATCTCCCATTGCGAGATCTTGGTAAACTTAAATACGGCCAACATATTTTTGCGGGTAAAATACTGATAATGATCGTAATGTAGGGAATGTTGACACGTATCTGTGCCATCACGTTTCGTATAAACGCCACCATAGAAACGTAACTCGAGATACTTGGCGAATGACAAGCACCACGTGTCGCCCGACATCGGTACTACCGGCGATACGCTCTTACATTTGACACATTTGCTCCACATAAGGATCTGATCGACATTCTCTTGTATAAATGGCTCGGAACTTATCTCGCTGAGACTGATGTGCAAGCAGCCGCCGTCGTGCGCGAATCGTCTGACGTGTTGAGCGATTTGCGCGCGACAAGCCTGCGCCGGGCATTTGTATTCCGTCGTCAAACAATAACGCTCCAAAAAGCGACCAAGCGCGATATCATTCTGGCCGTACATCATCATGTTTACCACCCAGGGATTCACGCAGAACGCCGGAGTATCGTTACCCGTGTGCGAAAAGCTGCAAAACAATACGGAAAGACGCTGATGGCTGCTGGGATCCAGACAATCCGGCCACGAGAGGGTCTGTTGCTCATTATTCTCGGTCGATACCGTTGATGGCTGGTGTCTATCCAACACGTTATACGTCGGATTAAGTCTGCTGCCGCATGCTCGGAAATTCGCCAAGAGACTCTGCACTTCACGGCTATCGACATCCGTAGTCAAGCGCATCTGAACGAACGGATGATACAATTTTAACTTGAGACTGTTCGCCCGTTCGCGATTCTCGGACGCGAGCTGTTCGTTCATGCTGTTTGTTCGGATCTCTTTAACTTTGTCGAGAAATTGCGTCGAGTAGTAGATCTCCCGTGGGAAAAAACTTCTCAGTACGCAATTTCTACCAAGCTCGGTCTCTAGATAAGGTATGGAAAACTTTAGATACGGCGATACGCTCAACACGGTGTCCTCGAGCGCTTTCTTAAATTTATTGAATAACGGAAAATCGGCGACACTCAGACGTTGACCATTCGGACTATTACGATTGAATACGTCTTCGTCATCCTCATTTAAATATTGATGCAACGGATCGCTTCGGTCGCTTATGGATTCTCCGTAAATGCGTTTCTCTTCAGAGGATATTTTATCCTTTGACTTCGCTTTGTCAACAAGTTCTTCCGTCTTTTGTTCGGTGCATTTTGTCTCCTTGTTTGCAGCCATAGAATTGTTATGTTCTTCCGTGTCATCGGAAACAAAGTTTAAAGTATTGTTCTTCGACTTGTCATTGTTACATAAATTTACCATATCATTCTTACGAGGTGCTGGTATCTTCGAATCGGATAAAGATGGTTTTAATTTTGCCTTAAATAATTTTAACGTATCATAAGGATCGGAATCTTCCGACAGCATCGAAGATACTTCCTTCAGAGAATCTGCACTTAAAATATTATCGGAGAAATGGAGATTTTCATGCTTCACAGGTATATTTGAATTGTGCGATTTAATATTTCGAGCACTTTGCTCATCGTTAACTGTGTCTTCATAATCTTGATTCATTTTCGATTTCTTTGTCTCGATTGCATGCGCATATTCATCGACAATATGTTTTTCGAGCTTCTCAGGCTTTTCGTCATTCGAGGGATCTTTTTGCAATGTTTCATCCAGAAACGAATTATTCTTGGGCGATGGCGGTTTAGCAAACTCGTCCATGAGAAATGACTTTTCGAGACGCCACGAGTAAGCAGCAAAAATCATCATCGATGTAACATTTTTCACTTTCTTTAATTCGGTCTGCGAGCCGCCTCGCAATAAAATCGTCGCGCCCAAATGCGGATTTGCGCAGCTTTCAAAATACATCAACGTCTTGACGCCTCCTAAAAGTTAACATTACAAAATTAATAAATGTCTTTCATTCTAGATCTATCAAGTTGATAAAATTTTAAAAACATGTCACATAACGTTTTATAACTTTTAAACTTTTCTTTATATAATGTTTTAAATTTGTCAGCAACCTGATATATCCAGAAAGAATTTTATATCAATTTCATATACATATTTCTTTTACTTACTTTGTTCATCTGGAAAATTTCTTAAATAAAACTTCTTACATGTGCCAAGCATATATCTCGCACTTATGTGCGCGTCTATAGTGTTTACAATACTAGCACCTGTACATCGTGCTACTCTTTTCAGTACGCTAAGTTTTACGTTTAGAACCAATGTCACGCCGCATTCTCTCAGCTTGTCCTGAGCTAATCTAGCTACAGAACGATGCACGAGTACCACGTCTGGACCTAGAGCAGTAATTCTCGCCACCGTGTGTCCCAAATACTCGCTCTCCTAACAAATTTTATGTACAAGAAATTAAAATATCGTAGAAATATCGATATTTTTAAGTAAATAAATATAAATATAAATATATATCCCAATTGAAAAAATATAAAAAATAATAATATAAAATATAATAATATAAATATAATAATATAAAAAATATAAATATATATCCCAATTGATTAATTAAAGATAACAAAAATTTGATTAATTGAAAATAATTAAAAATAATGATGAAAATATGATGAAAATTTATCATTTATCATACCTGCATCATTACAGGCTCCAAACTTATCAATTTGCCCTCCACACGTTGATACATTAAACCACATTGCAATAATAAAATTTTAGGATGCGCAATCATGGCATTCATGCAACGATGAGCGACATTCTTACTGCAAATCACACCAGATACGATATTACAGTCATCTCTGCTACCACCGGGGCATTTTTTGAACTGTATGTATTGTCGAATATCTAAATTATCAGCGTCATGATTCAAATCTGGTCGGACGTGGTCAACTATTTGATGTGCAATGGACAGAATCGTATTTGACCATGTTTGCGACAAGCCTTCTTTACTAAGGAGTTGCTTAATAAGAGAATCTTCGTGCGCTTTATACGCAGCCCTGCGAACAATAAATATTGTTTTTTCTCTTACTTTCCTTTTGTTTTACTTGTATTATACTATTAGAGTATTAATTATTAAAAATTCTAAAAAACTTACGTTAAACACTCATACGCGCTTAATTCGCCAAAGGCTGTTCTCAAATTAGTCGCTCTGTGCCATCCGTTTTTCTCCTTGAATTCGTGCACTTGAAGCGTATCACTCAACAGATCGTCACATATCTTGTGATTACAATCGTGTGATTTAAGATTAATCTCTTTTTGTTCGACTATTCCGTCACTACTGTCCACAGAAATTGCAGTTAAATCTTCCGAAGTTGGTCTTTTTAACGTGACGGTTGATGCTTCGAGATTTAAATCCAAGTAAAAACTTGAACTGGATGACGGTAAACGATAGGTTTGTGACTGCGAGCAGTTTGTAGGTTTCGTCTCACTTTCGGAATCTGTAAGGAGTCAATCGTTAAACAATTGTTTATCTCATCGTAAAAAAATCTCAATTTGTTGCATTACCAGTAGTTGAATCATGCTGAGGAATAGTTTTTACCCATGCTGGTTCTTGCGCATCGCATGCTGTCCGTTTTTCCGTTAATAAGTCTATACTTTGTAAGGAGGACAACTCTACTGGCCTGAATATGCTTGCTGAATCGTTAAATACGTTATCGCCGACAACTGATTCGATGAAACCCGCTTCCAACAATGCTTGGCCTATTGCAGTCGCTTGCACGCTATATAAAAGAAGGCCATATTTATGATGGAAATTTTGTAGCATTTTAGCAGTTTAATATTGTCGAATAGACACGTACCGAGTGGCTGTTTTATTCTGTGCTATCATCCAATTGACCAATTCGCTTGCTAGGAAACAATTGTAATAACTTTTCAATCGAATTCTATGCGTTTGCAATTGAATAGCCTGACTAGATCGAAACAATTCTTCCCAAATCATCCTTAAAGAGGCCGAATTTTGCAACACGAGTGAACGTTCGTGCGATGTTAGATAATTATTACCTGATCTGTAATAAATGAGCAAAACAGAATGAACTCAATGATAAAAAATTAATAATATATTATAATAATATTATAATAATATTTAGTATTCTGGTTAGTTTTTACCGTTTAGTCGCGTAATTTTCCTCCATGTATCCTATGCTTGGTTTCCGACATGTCGATGTTTCATCACCCATTGATTCGCTAGTGTGCTTTCGAGTTAACAGTGGTGAATCGTTTCCATACTTCACTTGAAGATCTTCTTGCAATGCTTTTAAATCCGCCGATAAATCGCTCCTCATGTCCGATGATTGAAGATAAGAAAGAACGACTTTGCAACAATATGTACAAACTCTGAGATCCCCTAGTATGAAAAAAACATAGACATAACAATAAATATATAAATATAAGTATGTAGTATATTGATGTATACATATATTTATATGGATATACTAAAGATATTTGTGTTTTATACCAGTGCATCCCATAATTTTCCCTGGTATTTGATCAGAGCAACACTTGGAGCAGAAAATTTGCCCGCACACGCGACAATGGTGCTTTCTTCGAAACGTGGTGAATCTTTCACCACATTCATAGCACTGCTTACTCACGCTATCTGGCATCCAGTAACTCCTCAACTGAGAATCTTTATATGAACGTAGATTCTATAAAGTAAACAAAATTGTATTGCAAGAAGCTTTACATTATATAATGTAAAAATAAATTGAAAGTATAATAACACTCACGTTACTTTTCAGTGCAACAATATTACTAATACGTTTCAAAATATTTGGTAAACTGCGGCCCTCACTGGCTAATGAAAAATTTATCATACTAGTGCTATCGTCATCAGGGGTTTGTTCCGTACTCTCAGATTGCTTCCACGAATCCGAATCAGAAGAATTATGTTCGTCATTGTTAGGAGATACAACGGAATCATTTGTACTCGGTGAATCTAAACATAAAATATAATATGCAATACATTATATAATAATCAAGGTAGTAATATTAAGTAATATTAATGCAAATTGTTGGACACAATTTTTAGCTCATTTCTTGATTTCTCTAAAAGAACTTAAAATACTACATTTTGTATTATATCTTCATTTGACAATCAATAATTATATCTCCTTATTAAAATGATTAAACATTCAAAATGTAATTAATTATAAGTATAAATATAAAAATGTAAACATTCAAAATGTAATTAATTATAAATATAATTAATATAATTAATAAATATAATTAATTATAAATATAAATATGATCTAATAATTATGTAAGAACGAAGGATTATGATAATATAATATATAATTAGATTCTAACTGGATCTCACTTCTGGTAAAGTTAAAGAATTTGGAGAAGAGCGACGCTACGACAGGTTGGCTCTCTTCGGGACTCAACGGAGCAAACTCCGTGAGTTTTGATGGAGAATTCATGTTCTTATTCATTTTGAGCGATACTATCTTCTTGTATGCATTCTGAAATTCAATGAAGCTCTCTCCCCGACATCTAAGATCACTTAATTACTATTCTCGTTGATTTTACTCTTACTGTTCAATTCCGACATTGATGCAACGTATGTGTACGTCAACGCATGGCAGTTTGACACATTGATAGATGTATAGATGATCCGATCAGATGATCGCGATCGTTGCGGCCTCTGTGATTCGTCCTGGAAATTTTTAGATGCTTTGAAATCTTGATAGATGGCGCCACCGATATTGAAAAAGATTTGCTCATCTCAGTCATCCATTTTGTTTTCTCTCTCCTTCTCTCCTGTTCTCTCCTTCTATGGTTTGAACGTGTTCAAAGAAGAAAAGAGCAAAGTGTGCAATTAAAAATATTATAATATTAGAATTAATTACACACTGAGTTTGAAACTGAAATTTCTTCAAGTGTCAGGTAAAATTCATTTATATTTTTAATTTATATTACAAATATCTCTAATTTATATATCCTAATAATTTATATTAGTTATTTTAACCTGCAATCTTGACGGAATTTTAATATATATTTGGAAACAAGTAGATGTATTATAAGAATGAGATATCAATTCTTATATTCATACATGATATGACACTACAGAATACAAAAAAAAAACAACACTTTGCTAAAGAATATACAAAATATCACCTAGTATAACTTCAAAGGTATGTATCTCTCGATAATCATTGATAAAAATCGACGACACATTTTTATCAGCTAAAAATTGCTTATAAATTTTTAATTTCTGAATAATTATATAATATTATATAATAATATTATATTTATATAATATAATATATAATATAATTATATAATATTATATAATAATATTATATAATATTATATAATAATATTATATAATAATATTATATAATATTATATAATATTATTTAATAATATATAATTATATAATATTATATAATAAGAGTGAAACAATTTAAAAAGCGAATAAATTTAACTGACGAAATAATTGTAATTCGAAGAGACACTATATAAGTCAATGAAAAAAAAAATTATCTCAATACAATATTTATTTGTGAATATAAATGTTCGATTAAAATGATTCCTCATTTGTGACGAATGAAACTTTACTGCTTTTGTTGTTATTAACGCCTGTTATTTACGACTTTGTTGTTATTAATTAATCGCAGGTTCGTCCAACCCGGTATTCATTTCGACACTATCCTCCTTATACCACCCTGCCACCCTTGGGTGCACCAATCCTCGCAGCTGCGCAGGTGTATCGCCCCTAGCACCTTCTTATCAACATCTCCGAAGAGCCAGTCGCGCCAGAAAGAAGGCTTGGCTCCTTCGTACCTCTCCTTGCTTTTCGTTCCACGCGGACGTCGTCTTCAGGGACGAGTTCCCCTGACCGTGTCATCACTTCGCATCCTCCCGAAGGGCGATCGCTGGACAAGACGATGCGATGGGCGAGGGAAAAAGCGACCGTTCCGGTAAAAGGTAACGTGTTTCGCGCTTCTCCGGGCCAGCCGATCGAAGAATACACACGCCGTACTATTTAATTAAATCTGTTTAATATAAATTCACGATAAGAGTCGCTTGCCACTGTTCGCTCATTATTCTTTTTTCCCGCAAAGATTTAAAAGTTCCAAGATGAAGACAACTGTTATGTAGAAAATAGTGTGCATGCACAACTATTTGTCAATATTATTTTTTTATGCAACTGTTCGTTTCTTTTTCCTTTCGTAAATGTTCATTGCGTAAATTGTTTATGCGAGAAACAACTCATAATTGAAATGAATCGTTTTTAAAAATCATATTTTTATGCGAGAAACAACTCATAATTGAAATGAATCGTTTTTAAAAATCATATTTTTATTATTATTTTTTTAAATCTTTCAATTATTTTCCACATAAGAAGAAAACATCAACTGTAAAAAATTGATTTCTTTTTTATTATACTTGCTTATATATTCTTTTCCAATTCAATTTTTTTATATTTTTGATATTTTTTTATTATAAAGATACGGATTATTCAGTTGCTGTAGCTTATTATTTCAATTAGTATAGCAATTTACAATATGTATGATTGCAGATATGTATAATTTTTATTATACAAGATGAAATTTATGTGTTGCTTTATATATATGATATTTTGAAATATAAATTCAAAAGATCAGGCATCTTTTATGTATTCTATATATCATGGAATACCTATTTACGTGATTGCTGCTAAATCGATATTGAATTGAGGGAAATTATTTACGAGTATCGATATTAATTTAATTTCCCATTTAACGCGTGATACTTTCAATAATAATCTTTAATTTGAGATAAGTGGCAAGCGCATTTCTTGCGATCGTGCTTTCAACTAAATGATCATCTCGCCTGAAAAGTCGTTTAATCCCATTTACCCCGATCGTTAGTCACGCCTACCCAATAATGTAACAGCTCTCAAATACGTCGATACCGTTCACCGCATTAATTTGCCAAAGTAATCAGAGATGGTAATCAAATGCAAAAACTGTACATTTAAGTCTTTTCATACCTCATCACGCCACGTGATGATACATATCTTTCACACAGGATAATTCTAATAATTTATAATTAGTAATTGTAGGATTATTCTGATCTCTGTAATATCTAACTTTATCCTTTTTATATGCATACTTTACATACTGTACAAATGTATGTAATTTTCTAAATATTTCTCAGAATGGCCTACGATAAAATAATATAATTATCTCATATGCTATTAAAACAGTATCAAAATACTTTTTATACATGTCATGTTACATTTTTCTATCAATCAAGATCAGAAATAATATATGAAAATATTTTATGAAAAAAGCTATATAATAAGATTTCTGTATCTCTTTTAATAATGAAATAATGTTGTTAAAAAAATAAGAAACTATTAAAAGGCCAATTAAAAAAAAATTAAAATATGCATATGAAGTGGGATATATTATTTTTGAATATTAAGAGATAGATGAGAGAGAAGCATATTAAAATATTTAATTTTCTCTCGATTCACATGTGATTGCGTTTCTAATTAAAGCTCAAGTTGATTCAAAAAATCTCGGACTTTTGATGGCCACGGCCTGGATTCCTTCTGTTAAGGAAGCTCGCGTGCAAGCACCGGCGGCGGCTCTGTAAAATGCGTTTAGATTGAATCACGCACTGAGACCGCAGAACAACTGACCGGTTGGCGATATGTCGTATCACGAGTTCGTCGGTGCGTGCGAATCATGTGGTGCGGACATTAATTTAGCCGCGCATACAAATTTGTCGTGCGGAGAGTGAGAATAATAGGGGTCGCGGTTAAAATCGGGGTCATTGGGTCGAACAAACCTCGACATTATGAATCGACCGAGAATAAATCGGCGGACAAAAGAGATTGGTGCGATTTGTACGAAGAAAGCGCCGAATGAAACGTTATCAAAATTTCTTATATAGCAATAGAGAATAAAATAATAAAATGGAGGAAAAAAAATTGGCAGCGATGGGATTCGAACCCACGCCTCCGAAGAGACTGGTGCCTTAAACCAGCGCCTTAGACCGCTCGGCCACGCTACCATACGTGAGTCTACCCCTCTCACCCTGACATACAAGAGAAATTTTGCTAATTATTCTGATTATTCTGATTACTATAACACTCAACTTTATCTTCTTTTACATGTACACTTTACATAAATATTTTTCAGAATAGCTTGCGATAAAATAATATCATAGTTAATGCTGTTAAATTAAAATTAAAATACTTTCCACATTATATTTTTCTATCAATCAAATACATTTTACATAATAATCTTATCTTTTCTTTTCTCTATTTAATCAATCGATTTTTTTCATTTATTAAGAAATTTATTTTTCTATCATTTTGATCACAATTAAAATAACATTTTTTTGGAGACATCTTATGGATGTCATATTCATTCCCGACGTAATTTCGCGAGGTCTGACGTGCGCACGAGCCATTATGCCAGGATGAGATTTATTTTTCAAGCTGCGCGTTTTGCAGATCGATTCGTCGCATTTGGGAGAGCCATTGTAATGGCATGTACGGCACTTTCGTACCACTCTCTTCCTGTTCCTCGTCCTATCACCGTACCTCCTCGCCGCTTCAGCCGGCCCGCCCTTTTATATCCCTAATTCGCGTCCCTGATACTTCGGCTCTTCGTCATCTTCAGTAAGCTCGAGCCATCCATCCGTATCACATCGCAAACTATCTCATATATTCTGTATGATCGTGGATATATGATAGTTTAAATTAACAAAGTTTAACATGAATAAAAAACTGTTTTTAAATACTTAGCGAAAATATATAATTATTTCCTTCAAAGAGTGGAATAAAATATGGAATAAATATGCAATGAATTAAAAATAAAAAAATAAGACCTAAAAATAAAATAAATTAAATTAAGAAAATGTATGATATGATTTTATAATTAAGATTACGATTAGGCAAAGATCCTCCTCTCGCGGTGTCGGCAAGTCATCCCCGGATTTCGAGATAACGCATGGTAAAGGCAAGGAGAAAAAGGGACGTAAGGGCAAGACTAAGGAGAGATGGCCGTTTCTCGAGGGATTGACGGTCGACGAATTGGCTCGTTATCGGAGAAGACGCGTGCAGGATCGACCGAAGGACAATCTTCAGTCATATCCAGAGTCAGGGGTCCAGCAGGATTCTGCATCTGAATATCGCCGCGCCTTCGGTGTAAATGTTGAGGAACTTTCCAAGGTATTTATACGATATTTATATCAACTAAATGTATATCGAAATAATTTATACATATTAAAAACATATACATGTGTAATAGGAAAATGTCTGGCCAATAGAAGGAGGAAAGTCCGAGGATTATTCGGAGGAAACTCTCGAGGATGCGCAATCTTTGCATCATATGGATTTTCGAGAGCGCAAAACAATCGAGGATCCATCCGCAAAAGAAGAGAATGCCTTTGTTCAATTGGGTCAAGGAAACGGGACGATGGAAACACGAGTGGAAGCTCCGCACTTCGAGATGTCGTTCAGACGACCGTCGCTTATCAGAAGGTAGGTAAGCTATTAATTATCATTGTTATAAATGATAATATAATTAAAATTAATACATATTTAATGCCATTAATATATGTAACCAGCATGTATTTTAATAATATGCGCAATGATATAAATAATAATAATATATAACATTATTATTATTTATATTATTGTTTATATATTTTTTATATATATTATTAAATGTTTGCGTAGAATATTTATCAAATGTTTTATATAAAAAATCTTTTATTCTTTCCACATTTCTTGCTTCTTATTTATACAATTATTACATATAATACGTATTTAATGGCATTTAATGTATATTGTTTTCAATTGTATTTTAATTCATAATATAAAATATCTCATATAAGAAGACATTTTATAATAAAATCATAATTTAAAATTTACAAATTAATAATTATAATAAATTATAATTAAAAATTTACAAATTAAAAGTTAAATATTAATTAAAATAAAAATGTTTTATATAAATATTATAATAATATAATGTTACATATACATATTTTCAGTAAAAAATTTATCAAAAAAGATTAAGAAAATTATATGCACATGCGTGTGTGTGTATGTGCAATAAAATATCATATGTAGCACGTATAGATTGATATCTAATTTTAATTCGGTCATTCGCTTAGCTAGCTTCGCGAAGATTATCAATTCTTTTCTGTCGTGAATCTTTTAGGACATTATATCAAAACTGTCCCGAGACACGCAAATTCGTGTAAATATCGAAGAAACATAAATTTGATTGTCATGCAACTAAATTGGCAATTTAATAGTAGCAACCGACTTTCTATTTTCTTTTTTATTGGATTTCTGTAACATCTAATAAGTCACGAACATATATTTTAAACTGTCGCAGTTTTCAGTAAGTGGTTACTCAATAATGTTCTTATTGATATATCAAACCAAGCAAATTGAATTGTATATAATAATGCAACAAACTTTCTTTTAAAATATCAAAATTCTATAACACATACACATACATATATAATTTTTATATTAAATAATTTTTAATTTTGTGAAGTTTATTAGTGATACATCTAAAAGATATTAAAAAATAAACATAAATAATAGAAGAAGTTGAGCAATATGAAAGATGAAGATCAGTTGAAATGTTATGATTGATGCATTTATCAATTATCTAGTTCCTATTAACTTAAAACTGGCGATTCGTCCATTATCACGAAAAGGGGTACTAGCTTAAAATGCGGCGGGGATTTCTATACTGATACGGAAACGTATTCGGCGTACGTGCCTTATGAGGGGCAGCATCGTGCCGAGCTTGCGCGTCGACCTACGTCCTTGAAGATGGAGGGTGACCTGGACACCATGACAGAGAAATGCGAGAAATTTATCGAATGGCTGAATGTTAGTCGACCGGAACTTATGCGTATACCCACTCACCTGAAGATGGAGGGCGAGTTGGAGACATCGACCGAAAATCAGGACAAGTACGTTCCCTTTGTGGGAGCGCGGAGACCGGAATTGTTGAGACGAGGCACAAATTTGAAGCTCGAAGGAGATACCTACTTTGTACCGGAATACACTGATGTGTTCAGAGATTATCATGTCACAGGTAGTAATATTAAACTTTGAAAAAAATGCGGCAAATAAATGGATGAAAAAATATTTTTAAAACGTTGTAGTAGAAAGTATTTTCACATGACTATGAATTAAAATAATGAAAGTTATAAAACTTTTGTTAATTTAAAATATGCTTAGCGAGATATATAACAGTCTTTTTTATACTTTATACTTTTTATACATGTAGATAGACTGCAGCCGAAAAAGCCGCAAACGCATTTAAAAGTTGAAGGTGATTTTTTCCAAAACACAGAGAGCACTGAAAATTTCGTTCATCCTCGTATCAAGCAGACGCAAGAAATAGACACTAAACAGATCAAAGATGATGATGATGAAGAAGATAAATGGATAGATGATCAAGAAGAGAAGCAAAGAAAAGACGAAGAGATGAGGATATTGGTGTCAAAGTTAGAAGATCTGAATGGTCGGCCGCTCGAAATTCCGGAATATCGAGATGCCTATAAGGTATTTATTCTGTGCTTTTTTTATTAGTTGCATTTAAAACAAATTTTTTAAAGAAAATTACATTTTATATTTATCTTCACTTAAATATTGTAATGTATAGTAACATCTTTTATGTATTAACTATTAACTTATTATTAAATTATTATTGATATCATCAGTAGTTGTATTATTTAATTACATCTGTTTCTAAAAGATTTAAATTTAAGATCTAGATGCAAAAATCCAGAATCTGTTAAAAACAAAATAGGGAAGAAATGTAAGAAATTAGAGAAAGAATATGTCAAAAATCAATATTAAATAAAGATGCATGAAAATATTGAAAAGATAAAACAGACGCTTGTTCTTTTGATTATTTATATGCAAGCTGGAGATGTATGATTACTAATAATTATTATAGGATTTTCCACGCGAACGGCCCAAGTTCGCAAAGCCGGATGACGAAATAGGTCGCGCTGATGGCTCAAAGGTATCTTCGCCATCGCGCTCTAAGTTTTCCATGAAAATCGATCAAGACCCAGAGTACCAGTCTAAGTATATGGATTATCCGCGAGATCGTCCTATCTATCGTAAGCCACCACCGATATTGCGACCGACAAACATCTCTTCCGGTCGCAGTAGCGCGTGTTTCGGCAGACCAGTTCGTCAGGAGTATCGTGCATTCGAGTATGAACCTACAAGTGAAGTGAGATCTCAGTATGTTCCTTACGGATACATACCAAGAGTCGAAACACTGAAAATGCCGGCGAATTTACGTTTGGAAGGTACCTTTGATCTTCAACCTGAGTATAGAAATGCTTATTGCGCGAAATATAATCGTCAGGAATGCACGGAACCTAAAACGATCTATGGTAGAGGCGATCATAGCCCAAACGTTACAAAAAGAAGAGAACATTATTGGTTGAGAGACGACAATAGTGGTCAGTGCGATAAAACGATCGCTGGTCAAGAACAAAATGCTTTTTGTGTATTGGACACGCGAATGCATGAAGATAATGTCACTGGAAAACCACCGCCCGCCAGCAGAAGGTACGTTCAACTCTATCATTTTCTAAGAAAATGATAGGAAAAATTTTCAAGCTGTGTCGTGAGATTATTATCTATCATTAAAAAAATATTTATCTTAGATTGAAGCTTTAAAAAATAAAAATTTTGGAAAACGATATTGAACTTAAAAACCTTTCTATTTTTATAAAAATAAATTTTTTTTTAATTTTAAAATAATCTCAATTTTTTCAGGAGCTCCAGATTGTCTCAAACGATGGTGCCAAGACCGACGCAGCTAGACCTGACGGATCGCGCAGTTACCACAAGAATCTCGCGATCTCCTAGTCCAACATATCGATTACACGTTTGTGACGTTGACAATGAGCCGCGAGGTTTCGGTCGTAGACAATCTCCCGGAAGGGGTGTTCGTAGTCCTTCGGTCGATCGTACGATTCAGGACGACATCAGATCTTATTCGCCTAGCTTTGGCAGGAGCAGACAGGATCGTCGCATCAATGATCAACCATTCGTAGTTTTAAATAACGCATCAAAAAACATGTCGGGTAGAAGCGAAGTTCGCAGAAAGAATCGCATAGACAGAAATGTCGATGTTACGGTACCGATTTCTCGAGGAAGACCCAGAACTCCGACCAGATGGATGCCACCATGGTACGACAATACAAATACGATCTAGAACTCTCGATCAAGCAGAGTATGTTGAAAATATGTGCTACCATTACTGGTAATTTGCTGCCTGAAATTTCTATGTTATACGAAGAATGTAAACCAGCGACAAATGTATGGATACACTGCCTATAACTTTGTATGCAGAATAACTGAAATCAATTGATAAAATCAATCTTTGAATATTTATATATTTAGAAACTATTAATCTTCCTTGCAGAGATTCTTGAAGCAAATGTTACAAAAGTCACATTTTCTGCAATGTATTCGTATATGAACTGATTTACTGTACTTATATCGTGTTTGTTAACGCTAAATGAGATTGTTTTATTCTCAGCACGAGATAAAATGCAATTTCTTTGTATATAAGAGAAATAAAACTCAGAATTAATTACATTCAGGACTAAATGTAGAATATATGAATAGAGAAAAGAAAAGAGAGAGAGAGAGTATTATATTCATGTTATAAATTATTTGTTGATTGTATACGTGTTATATATTCTATATATATTCTACATTTACCTTAACGCACAACAGGAATTTATTTAAATCGTTAATAACGACATACATAAATATTTCTCTCATTGGTTCCAAGAATGTAAAATAATTACAATGGAGGGAATTTTTATCCAAATTTGGGAACTTTGAAAAAATTTTATTTTATACGATTATAAAATTTAATTTTTTAATTGAGATGCTCTCGTTCGATATATGCTGATCATGTAACGTTATTATTATAACTATAGAATTATATAATAGATATAATGAGAAGATATACTCGTATTATATATACTGCCAATATTTGTTAATTAATACGATCAAATATATACGAACAATGTAGCTTTACTTGATCTTTTTTTGATGTCATATCGTAGATTATCATCATATATTGTGTTATTATTTTGTTGCTATATCGTGATAGAATACTGATAATAGAATACTGATAGAACTGATAATATTCGTAATAAATGAATCTGTTTATGATATCAATTAAATAATATTTCATAATTATATAGTTATATAATTATCAATGTTATAATAATATAATTGAAGTATTTACTATAAAATACAATATGTAAGAGTATTAATTGATAATTATATAATTCTTATATAACTTTATATCTTTAATTATAATTACCGATTTTTATTTTATTTATTCAAAATTATTTAATTGATATCATTAATTTTGTCTTAACTTATCGTAACTTTTTGAATAATAATTTTAAATTTGTTTCTAATCTCTCTTCATGATTTTCATACAAATTTCCGCGATAAAAGATGTTAAGCACATTAATTTTCTAATTAAAAACAAAAATGTTGTAAATTAGAATTCTATTTATTTAACACTATGAAAATTTCATATCTTTTGATTAACTAATTTTGCAACGAAAGAGGTAAAGATTTCTTTACTCTGATTCTTTGATCAATTATACGCTTCGAAACTTTTTAGGAATGGAATGTGCTATTAAAACATTTTTTTTTTTTAAACCAAACAAGGTCACGCATTTTAATGTTCGCTTTTAATCTATCTCTTATAATAAATCCTTCTCCCTTGACCCCTTTTTACCGAATCAGCAGCTAATGTTCCGACTATGTATTTTATATATTTATAATGTCATTGAAATTGCGTGGATATCAATACGAAAAGATATTTTAAGAATTCTTCATTTATTTTCTATCAGATTTGTACACATCGAATTGTCAGATACGGTGTGAATATTAGATAATAATAATAGATATATTATATTAATAATAATAGATATATTATATTAATAATAATAAATATATTATATATTTTTTTTCGACAGTGCCATAAAATTCGGGTGCGGGTATTAATGTCAGTCAAACTTTCTTCTTTTGCGCATGCGCAACGTAACGATGACGATTATAGCCACGTGTACGCAGGGATTCTCTGTTTTGGCGGGACGTCACAGAGGACAGCTATAAAATAAATAAATTAATTAATTAATTGGTGCATATCATTTTTTAACTTCATATTAATTCATTTAACTTCAATTAATTCATTTTAATTAATTTTTCAAAAATTTCTAAATTACTTTTAAAGACAATCAAACTAAAATCATACAGGACCTTACTTTTTCCGCAAGATTTAACTACTTCTACCATATTCAATGCGCATGCGCGAAAAAAGGACTCTAACCACTAGCCTGTCCACGTCAGTCATGTCCAAGCCTGTTTAAGTTTATGCGTTCGTGTTCATGGGAACTCGTGTCATAACCTAAGTCTTGGTTTTTACTCGAAATCCGATGATAGTCGATAAATGAAACATTTACGCAGATGACAAGTTATTTGGATATTTCCTAGTGTAAATAAGGTACTTGATAATATCACGTACATGCAAATCGATCAAGATTGTGCAACGCGAAGTGTAATAATATCTTAAATATGGACGAGTAATGTATATTGTTTTTTTTTTCTTTTTGTTGGATAGTGCAGCAAAATGTATTGGACGCTGTGCATATTGATAATCGGATCGTTCGGCTGCAAATACATCCATGCTCAGGCGCAAAGAGTCGCACCGGGTGTACCACCTCAGCATTATCAGCAGGTAAGCCACGCTTTCGAATGTTGGCAAACATATGGTTCAATGTAAAACAATACTCGGTAGCATTGACATTGAAGTTAATCCGAATTATTTTGATACGACTTAATTTCTGATGTATATGCATTGCGTTTTAATATATTATTCGCTTTCTCTGTTTTTTAGCCTGGTCAAGTACCGCAGCAACATATGCACCAAGTTCCACAACAGCAACAAGTAAATTTCTTCAGTTATAACTTAATTATATATCACTCATTTGTATCATTGTCTCTCTCTTTTTTTAGTAGTTTTTTTTAACTTTCAATTTCAATAAATCATTAATTTATCAAAATTTTGTTCAAGTATCAACAAGTACCAATGCAACAACAAGCTCCTGTTCAACATATTCCGATACAACAACAGGCCCCTGTTCAGCAAGTACCAATTCAACAGCAAGCTCAACAAGGACATAGACATGTACATGATCAATCTCATGGACAACCTCAGCTACTTAATACCGCCAATATAATTCATGAAAAAGAGTAAGTATCGAGTAGAGGAATTCATTAAAAAAGAAAAATGATAATTTTGTTTGCTTGTATTAATTATTCACTAAAATATATGCTGATTATTAATTATCTTTAAAACCTAATTTAATAAACTCAAATATCTAAGAATTTTATATACTTTCAAATTTTTTAGAAATTTTTTTAACAATTTTAATTGTTGAGGCATATGTTATAAGAATTCTTATTCTTTCTTTCTTTCTATTAGACATATTGCAGAGCATGCTGATGTTCCAATAGATACCAACAAGATGACAGAGCAGGAGTTGCAGTTTCATTATTTTAAAATGCATGATGCAGATAATAACAATAAATTAGATGGTTGCGAGCTCATCAAATCTCTTATACATTGGCATGGTATACAGCACTTTATCTATCTTTCCTTTTCTTATTACATTCTCTCTAATATAACTTGAATTAATAAAAAAATTTGCGTTATATATATTCATTATATATCTATTGCAGAACAGGGTAATGTGGAAGGTAAACAAAACAAGTTGTTCAAGGATGAGGAATTGGTGCAATTGATAGATCCAATACTTAGCATGGATGATACTAACAACGATGGCTACATTGATTATCCTGAATTTATACAAGCCCAACAGAACGCTGCTGCAGCTGCTACAAATCCATAATTGTGAATCTCTTACAGCTTGGTGTAAACTTTAATTTAAAATAAGGTTTATAAAAGTTGTCTATAGAGAAAAACTTTATTATGAATATTTCTTTAATAACACAATATTTACATTGCGCTGTTTATATGATAAGCTGAGATTTATTACTTGTATGACTAGTTTTTCACAGATCTAATCAGTATATACTAGTATATACAATTTAAGGGAAGAGGAAAGTAGCTTTCTGTATATTGTCGATATTATATACAAAAATGTAATTAAAAAATAATTTGGGAATATGGAGCTTTTTCTTTAATTATTTTTTAATTATGTTTTGAGATTAATTTTATAAAAAATAAAAGTATCTATTACACACATTACTCTTGTAAATGGTTATAATATTCTAATATTATTAAATTGAATTTTTGATACACCAAGACTGTTTCTAAACGAGAATATTTTATAGAAAATCTCGTATTTTGTTAATAAATAAAATGGTCATTTATTAATTTTTATTGTTATTGAATTAAAATACATATAAATTAATAGCGTAAGTTTACAACAATGTTCAATGTAACAATATTATGTTAAAAACATGGATGTTCCATTCCATAGTAAATATCTCTGTATAGCGACACAAGTCCAAAAGTTTTATATGCAATGTATTATATATACATATATTTATATAATAATATGCAACAATTAGAGTTTTTACAATTCTATTGTATTACATTTTAAGAGATTCTAATTTTTACCACAAAAGTTATGTGAATAATAAAATCAACAACTAATTCATATTATAACTTTATTATTATATTTTTATATATATATCAAAATGCTTAGCAGTAATTGGAAACATAAAATGCTAGCAACTTTGTACAATGCAAATGTCATAACAAAATTTCACTTATGTTTAGGATAAGTGATTATTATTTGAAGAAATTTTGTCTAGCAATTTCTTTTGGAGAAATACAATGTGGTATGAAAATATGATAGATATATTTAAGCGACTAGATTGTGACTAGAATTAAGAACAATTCTCCTCTTTGTATATCTGTTTATAAATACATTCCGTTAACCAAATAATCGGCATCATGCGCGTAAGGTCCATGTCCGCATCTGCCACGTCGTTTCACCACTCGTAACCGGCAAACAATTAAAGCAGCCGTGATCGCAGTTGCTATGAGTCCTAGTGATAATGATACCACTGCTCCTTTGGGGCTTAAAACATCGTCCTCGATTATTTGAAGATGTTCCGCAATAATGTCGGTTTTCTCATGTGCTCTCATATGATGATCCTCGATTACAATTATACTTTTATGATCTGCAATAATAATTAAATATTAACCTCACACATTACAATGTCACAATAAGAAGTTAAATTAAATGCACATATTGCAAGTTTAATGTTTTTACCTTTTGATTCTTTTGCATGATTATGTTTGGTAATGTCATTTGCTAATACAGTTGATTTTTCAGTAACTTGTTTGCTCACTTTTGTATGTATTAGATGCGTGTCAGCTTTTTCTTCCTTTTTAACAAATTCTTTATTCTGTGTCAATTCATTTCTATGTTCTTCTGAAGTCTACAATAATGGAATTATTATTATTATTATTATTATTATTCAAATATATTTTTCAGAAATGTATTTTAAGAATATATAAATACAATAATTAAGTTGCTAAGAAATGTGCTTACATCACAGACAGGGGTTGTTGTAATTTTAGCAGAATCTTCTACATCACCAGTTTGCTTATGTTGAGAATTTGGTGCAATGGATGGTAACAATTGTATTGGATTATTTTGCCAAGGTATCTTATTTGGTGATGGAAAATGTGAAGTATATGGATGCTTAGAATCTATGTACACTCCTCTAAACATAAAATATAAACATAAAAGTTAATAATCTAGTATAATCTTCTACATTTTAATACAATGATTATATATATAAACCAATCTTAATATTTTAAATTACCTGTCTGCTTCATTATTTTCTATAACGCTCGAACCTTTGTGATTAAATATATGTGGCTGTTCTAAAAATATACATTTGTTACAACATGTATTCATAAGAGTTCTATAATATATGTATGAGAAAAAAAATTATATTTTACATACGTTCATAAGAATTTATATTTTGTTCACGGAAATTATTTACAGGAACATATGGCTCCTTATTTTGTTCATATAGAGGCTGATAATCCCACTGATACCCTGGGGAACCATAATTCTTATGCATTTGCGGTAACTCCATTGGTTGACCAGGATACAGAATATTTTGTGGCTGTGATATTTGATGGGCTAAATTTGATATCTCCCAAGTTTTAGGATTAATCTCTGGCGCAGCAGGATAAAATGGAGGGAGAAGCTTGCGCTGCTCGACCATTTGCGGATATCGTAGAATATCGGCGGGCGAATGCGGCACTTGTATATTTGGAGAAACAGTCGGTTTTTCCGTGGGACAGACAAGATCAGCCGCTTCGTCAGAACCGTCTGTACATTGTGGAATGCCATCGCAAACGTTGTATATAGCTATACAGTCTCTAGATGAACGACACTCGTATTGATTTCTACTGCAAGCTATTACACCAACCAAGAAATATATATATTAATATCCATATACATATCTCTTCAATGATATAACTAAGAAATTCTTAACATTTGAAACAATACCTGGTTTAACCGACGTGGGTGTAGTTAGTATTACTTTTGGTATTTGGGTGACTATAGATTTGCTAGCAGTCTCTGTAAATCCATAATCCAATGTATTCTCGCTACTTTTCCTAAGATGCAAGAAAATTTTGTTAACCAGAAAATTAGAGGAAGGAGAAATATATTAAAGGAGTAATTAAATACCTAAGTGATTTTAACTCGTGCTCCTGTTGAGATATCCTGACCTCTTCTTCTACTTGTACATTCTGTATTGGATAACTAGTGCGTACAGCACTGGTATAATTAGCATGTCTTGTAAATTTGCACTTGAAATCATGCAGTGGACCACATTGAAAAAGATAGCAACTACCTGGTTTCTACAAACATATTATTTATATATTAATTTACATACATATATAGGGAATAATTTAGAAACACTTGTATAAATTTTGTGTGTGAGTTCTTTATATCTAAATAAAAAAAATATCATATATACATATATATTTAGAAATGTTTGTTTTATAAGTTATAATAAAAAGATTACATTCAATGCTTGGGTTTCAAAATATAATCCATCCATTTTGACAATCAATTGTCCTATTATGATTATCATGGAATGAAAAATTATATTTCAATTAAAAATAAAAATACAAATGTTATATCTCAAACTGACAGAATGCATTTACAATGATACATGATCAATAAATCTTCAGTTGTTTATCTATTCACAATTTACAGCAAATATCCCCCACTTATTTTAAAATATGTATGGATACATCAAATCATAGACTGCTGTATCTTTTTAAAAATCTTAGAAAGATTGTGAAACTCTAACAATGAATGAAATTTTTTGATTATAACTTATAAATCATTTTCAGACATATATGTATGACATTTTTTTTCTTGTTTAGATATGAAGAACTCGCTTCCAAAGTTTGTACAAATTTTTTTAAATTATCTTATACGTATAGCTGCACATATTCCTTATCTCCTTGTATATCCCATATCATTAAATATACCTTCCCATATCATTAAATATACCTTCTCCTCGAAGATAAACACATCGCATCGCTCGGTTTCGCAGCAATACTTCAAACAATCCAATCTAGAGTCCACGTCCAACACACTCAGGTACTTAGCACCCATGTCACGAGAGTCTTGAGTCTTGATAATCTTATCTCTATGAATGTCAAAGCTATCGAGGCACATTTGATAGTTATTCGTACCACCGTGTCTCTTCTCATTTGCTCTGTTCGCCCCGTCATTGCCGAGTGCACAGTGAAAACTCGCGAGGAGAATTAATAGAACGATTCGCCGCTTTTCGCGAAACATCGTTTCCCTTTGTGCATCACACAGGTGTCCGAGATGCGCACATCCGTGTTGCGATCGATAGCTGAATATTTTTCGATGAATATTTATCGTGTCTCGCCTTTCATGTATAATTAAACGACGCAAAACTCATTTCTCTTCCAATATATATGTACGTATATAATAATTATGCATCCTTTTCTCCTTGACACGTAAGGTTTCTTCCGATAATCTGCTTTACGATGTTGATATCGTGGGTGTGTGTGAGTGACATGTGTTTGATGAGCGGGTGGCACCCGATTGACCACGTCGCCAATTGGCCAATTCAAAATAGGACTCTCTGATTGGTTAATCGTTGCTGGTTACCCTAGGCACAGGTCGATATAATTGGCTGTGGTCAATCGCAACGTGGTCAAATGGAACGCTCCCGATGAGACAGTGCACGCACTTTTAGTAACTTACCAAAAAAATTTAGTAACTTATTAACAAATCCTAGTAACTTACTAAAATGCTACTAGTGCTGCTCACTGTCCATGAAATGTCGTATTTACGAATTTACTTCGATGAGATCGATGCGCGTGTGTAGGAAAAAATATTTATATGTGTACATAAAAGTGTAAGGTTAAGAGTATAATATAAAATATAATTTATAAGCATTAAATAACCAACTGACATAAAATATTTAATTCGACATGTCAAGGATTCAAAGACATTAAAGGATTAAAGATTAAAATTGTGCCTGAATTATTGTCTGTCAAATATTGAAACAAGGTTTCACCATGTCTTTGTACGATGATTTTGACAAGCATCGGACCTCGGAAAAGGTTGCTGGATGGTCCTCCGGTATAAAATTGTTGCAATCGCAATTGCAGTTGAAGAAGGCTGCTACAACACAGGTAAATTCCTCATATACAATACATATCAAGCAATTAATTAATTATAATAATTATAATCTTATAATTATAATAATCTAATTGAAAAATACTGTAATAATCTCTGTTTCATAAAAGATTGAAGATTTATTTAAGATGGATTGATTAATGAATTCTTAACTATTTCTCTTATTTCTGGATTTGTAGCCAAAACGTGAGCAATACAGAAAGGCTAGTGCGGTACTAGCGCCAGTGATAGATTTGAAGTCAAAGACTAATCGCGATGTCGACAGAGAGGAACATGATAGCACACACAACAATCCATTATCTGCTGGTAGTGTGAGCAGTATAGGAATAGGTGATGAATTTGACTGGAATGTAGTAAATGAATATGATCCCATGTGGCCCAATGAATACGAGAAAGTTGTGAAGGAATTGCGTGATATCAGAGATAGAGAGCATGAGACAGAGATGCGCAAACGTAGGAGGGATAGTACTCGCTTTGAAGATACTCAGGTAAACATTAAATAAATCTTTGAGTATCTCTGATATATAGTAAATGAAAAGCATATGGAACTGATGTTATATTATTACAATGAATGAATGTAATAATAATATTGAAATACTTTTTTGTATGAGTACAGGCTGCTGGTAGTGGTAATAGCACAATGATACCTCCCGAGAGAGATGAGGAGAGAACGCCGTCTTCAAGAGGTGTTGTTGGAGGTGCTGCAATAGCACCACCACCATCTTTGCAAGAATCTTCAGAATTACCACCTCCACCACCACGACAGACGCCTAATCTAGGCTATGCGACATCATCTGTGGCTGCTAAAATAATGGCAAAGTATGGTTTCAAGGAAGGACAGGGTCTTGGTAAGAAGGAGCAGGGCATGTCAGTGGCATTACAAGTAGAGAAAACGAGTAAACGTGGCGGTAGAATAGTTGGCGAACGGGAACAGTTGATGCCTCCACCACCACCTCTTACTGCTTCTCCACCGCAGAATCAATTATCGCAGCAACCGCCCGCAGAAGAACCTAGCATTACCGAAATAATGAAATGTCCCAGCAAGGTCATTTATAACACATATAATCCTTTTTTTATAATAAAATGTGTTTAATACTTTTATAATAACATTACTTGTAGTACATGCATATGATTATTATCTGTTTAATTTGTATATTTGTTAATAGGTTGTGCTTTTGCGCAACATGGTTGGCCCTGGAGAGGTGGACGATGATCTCGAACCAGAAGTAAAAGATGAATGTAACACCAAATATGGCGATGTTGCGCGTGTAATTATTCATGAAGTGATCGAAGCTGCTCCAGAAGAAGCAGTACGAATTTTTGTCGAATTTAAGAGGATAGAAAGCGCTATCAAAGCTGTAGTGGATTTGAATGGACGTTTCTTTGGTGGCAGACAAGTTAAAGCGGGATTTTATTCGAGTGAAAAACTTGACAACTTACAATTGATGGATTAGTTGTACACATTGTAAAAATTTCAAACATTAATTTAGAATATGCTCACTTCTTCGCAAATTGTATAAATATTTTATATTTCTATATAAGATCTTATTTACATCTTATGCTTAATAAATCTAAATATTTATCTGACTCAATTGTAAAAAAATAAATTTTTTATTACAATATCTTATATCTATTTTTGCAATTTATTGTATTTAATATAATTATATAATTTCTACTTATTTTAACAATTACTATTTCAATAATATATGTAAAATTTGAATGAATTAATTCTTTTAATTATGTGAAATGTAAAATTTCAGTATTGCAGTTTTAAGTACTCCAGTAGGAAGTTGATCAAATATGAATTTAAAAATACTGATAAACAGATAATTTCCAGATTTATATATTCAGATACTTTATGATAAATTAAAGATTTGAATTAGAATAGAAGAAGAGAAAGAAGAAAGTATAATTAAAACACTAGATGACAAAAATTAAATAATAATCATAAACATTTAACAAATATTCATAGATATAATATATATTCATAGTATATAAACATTCTTAATATATCTTTAGTAAAAGTTTATATAATTTACATAGAGCCATATAACAAGTTGTGTTCCCATAGGATTAAACAAATTAAACGTAAAAACTTAAGCTATAATCCATTATAAAATGTAATTCTTAAACGTTATTCAGACAATTAATATAGAACATGACATAAATATGTTCCAAGGAACTGAAAAACAATGTGCTTTCAGTTCTTCTTAATATTTCAATTAAATATCATTTTTATTGAATAATCAATCCAAATATATTTAATACCATGCAAAAGAATTGAGAAGAATCACTTTTTTCTGTATAATATTATTTTGTTTTTTTGGTAATTAAATCATCTATCGCTTTATTCAATTGAACACTAAATGCAACAAAACTGAATGTTTTTAGAAATCTATCTTTACCGGATCTGCCAAAGTCCTCGATACGATCCGGATTTGTGATAAGAAAAGATATTTTTGAAGCAAAGGCCTCGGCAGATAAATCAACCAGAAAACCAGTTTCTCCAGAAACTATCGATTCCATTGGACCACCAGATTTATGAGCAATTACTGGCTTACCTACATACATCGCTTCTAGAGGTACTATCCCAAAGTGCTCGTTTGGCGGGGTGTATATTACAATTTTACAATGATGGAGTATTGAAACTTTGTCAATGTCAGAAGGTGAACGTAAGAATATCACTTTATCTGTTACATATAATTCGTCCGCGAGTCCTATTAATTCCAAGTGGTACTCTACATTCTCCTCAATTCTCTTGTCATACCCGCCAGCTATAATTAAATATACTCTTTTATATATTTCTTTCGTCAACAGTTTTTCTAATTCTGCAAGAGCCTCTATCGCGAGTGACAGCATTTTCTTACGCTCATATCTATTGATTGATAATAATACAATACTGTCATTCGGTAATTTCTTATCAAGTACTCTATCCATAGATACTATTCTTGTCTTATCGAAGAAATCTGTATTTATAGAAGGATATAAAACCTCTGGTTCAATATGCAATCTCTTGAATGTGCTCCGAAACACACTACCTGTATAAATGCTATTTACAAACACCTTATGCGCCATGCCAGTTGTAATTTCTTCCAGATAATTCAATGGCATGCGATACAGCTGTTTGCTATAGCCACCAGGCTGCGAGAGCAGCTGATCCGGATGATGACAGTAAAATACTACATATGGAATGCGTAGTCGAAGAACAGGTATACAGACGGACACCAAGTCGCAGAAGACAACTTCAGGCCGTCGATCGCAAAATATTATATAGCTAGCTGCATATATCTGTAAATAAAAAATAGATATGACAATTTTGTTTCTTTTAATATAATAAAATTATAATATAAAATTATAATATAATATAATAAATTAATATAATAAATTTATTATAATAAATTAATATAATATAATATAATAAAATTGCCAAACATATGTAAGATATTTCTAAATGAAATTTTTTTTAAATCTCGAAACATCTTTCTAATTATTTCTTTTATCATAGATGTAACAGCTGGTTCTCCGCCAACTTCTTTCCCATTTACCATGCGTAAATAGGCACAGAAAGCGTAGAATCTGCCCAGGATGTGTCTAGGTAACCAGGTGCCCACGACGGTGACGGGGATTGTGCCGTCTCTGGTCTCCGAGAAGCAGTGATCCGGATCGTGGTGGGTAGTCACGAAATTCACGTCGTGGCCGTTCTTCTTCAGGGCCAGAGCGGCGTCGACGACCAGCCTCTCGGCGCCGCCGATGCCGAGGTCAGGATGCAGAAACGTAATGCGCGTCATCGTGCTCGCGAGTGACGTTCCGTTAAACGGCCGCCGTCACAGTACATTTATCGGAAAGCGTGAAATTATCGCGAGGCAAATAACTGTATTCGCATTTTACCGGTCACTGCCGGTGGTAGATTTTTTTATCCGGCTGCACGCCGGATGTAGCGCTACCTGTCATTCCTGTTATTATTGCATCCGCGCAAGCAACGTCAAGTAAAATTTATATATAATTTATTTACAAATCGTTCTTAGATTTTTTTCGTGGACATGTAAGTTTCGTTACGTCTGCGATGTGGAAAAAGTATGGACTTATGTTTACTTGTTTCATTAAAACACTTTGTTGATGAGAAAGATTTAGGATCTGTAAATATTTTATTTAATAACTTTTCTATTGCATTTTGCGAGATTAATTCACACGATGCGTTTTTTTCTTCGTATTATGGCGTATTTACATTGTATGTGACGTCTACAGTCTAATATCCAATAGAAAATGTCGATTCCAATAATATTTTGTCTCCATAAAATGACTTCTCCTATTGGAGAATTACTTTTGACGTCATCCAATGTAAAATTCTTTAGTCGTCTAATATAGTGAAAATCCTTAAATACCGATCTGCATTATATGTAATCTATGGTTTGTTGTTTTCTTGTCACTGCCTGTCATTTATGAAAAGAGAGACATACTAATATTTTTATATAATAAATTATTATTAATTAAATTATTTATATTTTTATTTATATTATTTATATTATCAGAGGGACATATATGTTACCCTCTGAGAACATTCGTGGACATTTGTTTTGTAGTTCATATCCTCGTTTTTAATGTCCATAGAGGGAGTATCGCTTTCAGGAATCACCTAAAAGCAGGCTATGACATCTCTCAGTCTTCTCTCTGTAGTAGTTATGTCGAACCTCTCTAGCAGAACGGATGAATTTGTTAAGAAAATAATTCATAGCCGTTTAATCTTTTATTATTAATAAATAATCAAAGACATGGATAATTTATTGGAAGGAAATAACAGTTGCCACTTTTAGAGACAGGTGATTCTGTTTTTCTTTTTAATTTCTATTAAAAAATATATTTATCATTTATTCTATATTAATCATATTAACTATGTAATCTCTTTGATTTTAGGCAACAAGGATATGTAAAGTTTATAATAAAACTTGTAACGACCTTTAATTGGTTTTGCTATCCGAATAATATAACAATAATGAATTTTGGTGTGGATTGGGAAGCTGAGCAGCGACGTGTTTTGCTGGACAGCAACGCAACGTTGCAACGTTCGGCACAGTCTGTTGCGAGATCGCAGGTCATCGCAGCAGAAAACGAGCAAATTGGGACAGAAGTAATTTCTGAATTGGGTGAACAAAGAGAACGTCTTCTGCGAGCAAAGCGTAGATTGTCGCAGACAGATGAAGAATTGAATAAAGCGAGGAAAATTCTAGTTGTTATGCGAGTGAAAGTTTTGACAAATAAAATTGTCCTTATTCTGATCATATTACTAGAATTGGTTATTCTTGGTATAACAATATATTTAAAATTCTTTCATAAATAAATTGTCTACTTTAGTGTTAAATTTGATAAAGATAAAAATATAAAAGTATATATATAATATAATATAATGTATACATATTATCAATTAATGGGGAGAATTATTTTATAATTTTTCTATAATATATTATGTAGAATAAATTGTGCAAAAACAAGATATACATGCCTATAAATATTTAAATGAAATTTTAACAAGAGAATTTTTGCCTGTATGCATTTATTTTTAATTGTCTTATAATCTGTTGTGTGCCACAGCTTTCTATATATATCAAACAATTTCTCAAAATATGCTAATTGTAATACACTATATTGTAATACATTATAATTGAATGTATATATATATATATATATATATATATATATATATATATATATATATATATTAACTTTATTAAAGAGTTGAAAATATCAAAACAATACTTTACATTCATATATTTACTTATTACTTCATATATGTAGGGATATAGATTTCATTTTTTTTTATTAACCTGTTTTCATATAAAGAAAGAAATAATTCTTTGAAATGGCTATTCTTCACGATGAGGAATATTATCGGAGTAGAATACCTGAACCGGATTTAGGAGCATTTCAAAATTTTATACAATTTGTTTGGAATCCAGAGAGAAAACAGATACTCGGCAGAAGTGGAAAAGAATGGGGTAATTCTGTTTAAGTTCAATATTTTTCAACGTATCATAAATTGTTGATAAAATTTTAAATTATTCTCTTGTAAATTAGCCTTACTGGGATTCTTCTACTCGTGCTTCTTCAGCGTATTAGGTTCTCTCTTTGCGTTACAAATGTGGATCAGTATTGATTATGCTTCGAAATTGGATAAGCCATTTTTTCTTTATGCCGGTTTGATACCTAAATCTTATTTTGGCAATAATTTTCCGCTTTTTCGCCAATTAGATTTTGGTAGCCCAGGTATTCCTTTAATCAATTTTTATGTGATACTTTTTTCAATCCTTATTCAATACAATACATTTATGATATACATTATATTCTGTTCTGCACAGGAATTAGTTTTAAACCGAATGTTTTGTTGCCCACGACATCTCCTATTATCTGGGTGAATAATTCGAGTTCAAACGCGCGACCAAAAAGATATATTCAGGCTTTGAGTGATTTTTTAGAAGGTATTGCCGATGAAAAAATTATGCATAATACATATTATAATTAGTATTTATCAACATATATGTAATAATAATTATACAAATTATACAACTATTAAATTGTGTCAATGTATTTTAAATAGCGAAAAAGTATGTGTCATTGTGTATGTATATATATATATATTGCTTATAAAATAAATATTTACTTTTTTTAGTTTCAAATATGATGAAAAATTTGCTAGCAAACTATAGATAAAAAATTTTAAATTAACTGATGAAGCTTTTATTATAAAGGAGATTTATTTCCTCTAATAAAAATAAAGAAAGATCTTTTTTAAGAAATAAGCGTCCTTATTTCAGAATATAATAAAAGCACAGAAAGTTACAAAACGGCTGTAGAATGTAATGATACAGCATCGAATACGTCCGATATAAGACCTTGTTTTTTCAATATTGAGGATCTTGGCGTTTGCGGAAAACCTCCATATGGATATACAAATCCCCTTCAACCGTGTATTCTTATCAAGTTTAATAAGGTGAATAAGAATCTTGTTTTTGCGTATTTATTGAGCAACATATTTTGTGTTTTATTCACGCTCATTATATTTTTATATTTGTAATTAAAATAAAAGTATTTTTAAATTAATTATGTTATAGAGATTCGATTGGATACCAATTTACTATAATAAATCCTCTCATTTGCCGGAAAACATGCCAAGTGTTTTACAAGATGTTGTGCGATCTTCAAACAAGGTTTAATTCAAATTTATATCTCATTTTATATTTCAATATAAATAATTATTATATTATAATAATTATTTATATTGAAATATAAATTTTAATTAATTATTAATTATTATATTATAATAATTATTTATATTGAAATATAAATTTGAATTAATTATTGATTATTATATTATAATAATTATTTATAATTATTGGATAATTTATATTTCAATTTGTGATTGATTATAGCGAATATATAATTAAGTGCAGTGTATAAATGCCTTGACCAATAAAATATATTCGACTTTCTTCGCTACAATCTCATCATGTTATTGTATTATTATATAATGATTTATTTAACAGAATCAAATCTGGTTATGGTGCGATGGAGCCAATAACGTTGATAAAGAGCATGTCGGAAAAATTGATTATTTACCGAGTCCTGGCTTTCCTGTGCAATATTTTCCTTTTATGGGACAACCGGATTATTTGGCTCCAATGGTTGCGCTACAATTTAAAAATATTACACGTAAGCCTATATAATTACTACGATATTTACTTACAATATAAATAACAAATATTACACTTTATTGATACATGTTTTATTTGTTAGCATTCAGACTGGTGACGGTGGAATGCAATTTGTGGGCGCTCAACATAAAGAAAGAAGCGCATAGTGCATTGGATTTCCAGATATTTCTGGGGGAACCGTAGAAGATGGTGAGTCTATGAATATTCGCGTATTACATATATATTTATTAACAAATTTGCAAACGTAATAAGAAGGAAAATAGGTCGTTAATTTATGTAGAGTAAAAAATAAATTTTCTTTGTTCAAAGTTTCTTACAATTAATATGTATATTCGTTTAAAATTACAAATATTCTCTCGCTACCAATGATTCCTTTATTATATACCGTGTTACATTAATAATACATTCAATGTATTTTTCTGATATCATTTCGTATGTAGAACGTAACATTTGAGGTATATCTATAAAAAAATGCGGAGCAGCGATTATATATGACAATGTATTTCTATATTTAAGTGAATCAACACGAGATTTTATGTTTGTCTTACGAATTGTCTCCGAGAGTCTCTAAACCAATTCTGTCGACAGAATAGCAGATCGAAATTAGAGAGAGCTTCGTAGAACTTTATTTATATATGTATTTTTATTATGTGAACGATAAAATGGCATGATGAAGCTTCGTTTATCGACAGACATATTTTACATGTAGAAGAATTGTGTCAAAATTGACTACATTTCTCGGATTGTTTCCTTTACAATTAACAGCATTCACCAGATCAAGGAGGGAGAGATGAAAAAAAGAGGAAAGAGGGAAGGAAAAGAAAAGATTGAAAGAAGACTAAAAAGATGAAAAAGAAGGCGACAAAGAGAAGCAGTAAGATCCAGACAGATAATCGAAGAGACAGAGAGAGAAAGAAAGAGAGGAAAATGGAATTTAAGAGATAGAAAGAAGAGAAAAAGTTAGAGAGAGCGAGAAGAAAAGTACGAAGAGAAACGAAAAGAAAAGGACGAAGTGATTTAGACAGAGATACTGAAGGGACTGTCTTTGGTCCATTTAGATCGAACAATTCGGCAATTATTTCGTCCTCGTCATACTTTTGTCATTGATTAAATTAAATACCAAAAGAGAAAGAGAGATGAGGAATTTTCAAACATAAAGTATTTGTTCTCTTTTGCGGAGAATTGTACGGATCTGACGTTAATACGAGGCTTCATAAATCGAGGAACGTTTCCATCTTGCGACGATAACTTCTTATTCTTCCTCTTCCTCGCCTGTACCGGTCAACATGGCGATTAAACTCGCGGTATCGATGAAACCTTTGTCGTCGATGAACATCTGATCGAATGCGTCATCCACCTCTTTGGACGTAAATTTATCGCCCCACGTCATTAAAGCGTGCCTTAACCTGCGCACACAATAATAAATTTAAAAGTCATATTTTGTTCTATTATAATATTAGATATCGTGTATTTTGCACATACATGGTATGCTCTGACGAGTATTAAAGTGCGGATTTTAAAAGCCAATTCCATTCACATTTGTGAACCAAAATATTTTTGGAGACTTGTCGATCAGACATATTTTTAGCAATTAATATTTAAAATTGAAATGTACAAATACGAGAATTATACATCAAATTACGATATACTTGATACTAAAACTTCAATCATTCAAAGTAGCGCTTCAGTTATCGATATCAGCATGTCGGGTCAGACTTAGACCGTTCACAATAATACATCATAGGCACTAGAGAATAGATTGTACAAATATTTTATATAATATGTGCATAATTGTGACAGTTTGGATGCGAATGGAAAAAACGGCAACATTTATCGTTGTATTACCTTTCGCCATCGATTTTGCCGTCAACGTCGAACGTCTTGAAGGCATTGATCACAACGTCATCGTCATCGGTACCTGGCGGAGAAATTATTAATTTTTTTCAAGAGATCATTCAAAATTCTCAAGATTTTCAATGATAATCGTACGTACCTCCTGATCCTGACATACGGACAGCGAACAAGTTCAACAATTGAGTGAAGTTGATGGGCGCGGAAGCTTCGTTGAGCATCTCATCGAGCTCCTTATCGGATGCAAGTCGGCCGACAGAGTCGAAAGCCGCGCGAAGATCATTTTTGCCGATGATACCATCCTTATCCGCGTCCATTAGCTGGAATGCCTAGAAATAAATACCGCGATCACATTAATGCGCTTTCTATTCTCACAGCAATCTTCTACAATTGTCAATTTCTGATCATCCATTTCGAGATGTGTACACCAAGTTAATATAAAAGTACAATACAACTGCAAGTCTTTAATATTAAAATTAAAATCATCTACTAGGAGATTATCTTCTCCTCGAATTCGCTCCTCGTACCTCCTTAAACTCGGCCACCTGTTTCTGAGAGAACATAGAGAAGACGCTGGAGCCGCTACGCTTAGCCTTGCGGCTGCCACGGCTGCTCGCTCTAGTCGAGCCGGAATCCTTTGGTGTTGCCGGCTTCTCCTCGGCTGGCGCCGGCTCGGGCTCGGGTGCAGGAGCTGCCTCCTCCTTCTTCTTGGTCTTCTTCTTCTTCTCTTTATCCGCCTAAGATGAAGAAAATTTATAATCAGAGATTTATATGTCTTCCATTAAAAAAAAAAATATATAAAATAATCTAATTTTTCATAAAGTATGTGAGAAGCCATGATGACTTCTTGCTTTATCTCTATAGATCTTCTTCAGGAAATACACCGCATTTCTTATGAATAAATTTTTTTTTAATTCAATAATTAATCGGCTTAATTTATTAAATATTTATAATAGATGATCAAAAGAATAAATGATCAAAATAAATGGAGAAAAAGCAATACAAATGATACAATTATGTGTATTTTGAATATAAATAGAATTATTCTGCGATAGGTCATTATAAGCATTTGCTCTATTTTTTTTTTATTTTATGTAAACATTTTTATGAGATTTTATTGTATAGATAGGGGATGAATACATGAACAGAGCATTTCTCAGATATTTAATGTAAAATAACACATGGATATAAATGTTATTTTATATTAAAGATTTGAAAAATGAATTAAATTAAAATATAAAAATTATTTTGCCAATATATAATTATGCCGATTAATTTAAATGATATATTATAAATGAAATCGGAAAGCTAATTATCGAATGAGAAAATTTGCGAGGCGCTGTTGGTCGATGCTAAGAATAGAATCGTTCCCTAAGTTGCGCGAAAAAGCTGCCAGGACGTATATAGAGCGATCATCCAGTTACCGTACTGCCTCTCGAATTACCATTGTTACGTAATTGTTATATTTATATCATTATAATCACAGAAGTAAATGCAGCGTTAAGTCGAACAGTTTATTTTGCCGGTTAAACAAATTTGCATATGACATAAAAAAATTGAATTTTTTTTACTTCTTCTTTTATTGTTTTTAATATAAATCAAATTATTGTAATTTATTATAGAAACATTTATAGAATATCCTCAAGATTGATCTATATAACTTCCTTAATGAAGTGAATTAGAAAAATTGACTATCTTTTTACTATTCTATAATAATTTGAGATACCATGTTAAGGTTTTTAATTTTTAATTTTTCTCAACTTTCAACATTTAATTGCTGTCCGAAATAATTAAAAATAAAATAGTTCAATAATAATATTTGTGATAAAATATAATATTTTGCTAATATACAAAATTTTTTTTATAAATTGATTTGTATTAACCACAAATGATAGCTTATGATAGAACCTATGAGTTCAAACCTATGAGCAAGCCATCAATCGAGGGATTTTGAGCGGCTCACGAGCAAAAAATCTGACAAGGATCACTGCCGCACTCTTTCCATCATTATCACATCCGCAATTGAACATAATATCCTTGTCATCAACTCATCATCACACTTGGCATATATCTCGATGCACTTCATGTATAATCCATCTTCGTGAAATCATCATATTCGCACCATCATATTCGCGATTTGGCAGTGTTCCTGTTTAATAATATCTCACATAGACATGATTTCTCGCGTTTCTTCGTAGATCTATTATGGCAAACTTTGGCGCGAATCCTCGAACGAACGCGGAAAGGCTTCCTCGACGTACAATACTTACCATATCTACGCTTGATTTCTAAGAGATGGATGATACGAGATGGTTACGACGAACCAACTGTCCGAATCATAGAGCTGAACTTGTCTAAGTAACTTTTGTGGATCTCCCCCACCCAGACGGGCCGGAGGTTGTCCGAGCAGGAGTGCCCCGGGTACCCGGGTACAACGCCTATCTGACCATATTTAGTTCGAGTCGCCTCAAAATAGCGACCCTTTCGACGTTTCGACTAAAACAGTTTGCCTGGGAGTTGTAGAATTCAGATGACGACTACGGTGCACCGCGCTCTGTCGAGACCACGGTGTCTTCTCACTAAGATTTCCGATTTCCTGAGTTGTCCGATCGTGAGTTAATGGGGGATGCCCGGAGACAGATTACATTTGGAACGACCTTAATCATCTTTGCTTTGTATCGCATATAGATGTAGAGATGGATAGGAAGAAATAGAGGGTTGTCTCGCGTTCTCATCTTAATCCTCATCTAATTTCTCTCCTTTTTTTCTCTTCTTTGAGACTATAAATTGTGTTAATAAATTATCATTTTATATATAACTTTACTTAAATCGATAAAATAAAATATTATTTTAAAATATTTCTTGTAAATATAATATCAAATATATAAGTCAGTTTCTCTTATTCTGGCTGAGCTTATTAATAATAATTTGTGCCACACAATAATTGAGAAAATAATACTCATTCGTACATAAAATGTAATTGCTGACCAAGGTTTTAGTTTGTAGCACGATATCCGAAGCACGTGGATACTAAAAATAACTGTCCGATATATTCAAGAATGCACACATGTGTGTATTCTTACATATATACAATATCCCATAAGTCTCTATTTTTTAAGAGAAGATTAAGATAATTTTTTTGTCATATATCTAATTATTTATTATCTTTAAAACTGTCTATCAATTTTAATACTATGAATTTTAAAATTATTTTAAAAGTTTTATTATTATACGCTATAAATATCACGATGATTGCATTCGAACAATGTAGTGCGAAATGATGTAATAACTACGCTCAAATATAATGATATCTGTATTATATTACATGCTTGATTAGATGTAATGTGTGCTGGTAACAGCGCAACAGTTCTCTCTCCCTATTATATATCTATTACATATCTACATAAATAATTTTCATAGATATTTTACATCTATAATTATATTATATAATACCTTACTTTTTATGATTTATATTAAATTACAGTATCTTATATTTGTTATTATTAAAGATATTATCATCACAAATATTTCTGGCAATAACGAGACGGACGCGCCACGATAGATGTTGTTGTCTGTAATAAATATTAATGATACACATTATTTCTGTTAGAAAATTATTGTTTTTTAACTTTTCTAATATGTTATTCATTTACTTCATAATAAGAGTCAAATGAATTTACTTTTTTCATTTGGATCGCGTACGCCACATTGCCGGTGTCCTAATGTGCTTTTTCTTTTTGTCGGTATGTAACCAGGAATGTCTAAACTAGGAGCTTCGAGTTTACCAATGGATATAAGCCTGCTAAAGTCTTGCTCCAATTTATTGACAATTGGACCTGAAAAAATAAAATAAAAATCACAAATATATAATTCATTAAATGCCATAGGATGTTCAAACTAAATATCTCTCAATTTTACCTTTAAAATGCAAGAGAAATTGAATACATGCACCGTTATGTAATATCTTGGTTTTTCTACTGTCGATGGATAACATCCATTCAGGAATGCCCATCACTTTTCTTACATCTTCTAGAAATTGTGCTCTATAAAAGACGAAAGGAATTATAAATTAATGAATATATTTATTTTCTAAATCTATGATAAATTTTAGATTTAATTATATAAACTTTAATATTTAATAACATCTTGTAAATATACAGATAGAGCTCTCACGCTACAAATCGCGGTGGTTTCCTAATATTCGCGTATTTGACAATGTTATTATCCGGTACGATATTTGCACAAGCAAATCTATTACTGGCAAAATCCTTGTCATAAATAACAATAGATCTGCCTATTGCGGATACCGAGCCACCCAGGGGAAAATTTTGATCCGTAAATACTTGTCGTTTTTCTCCAATATTAATGGGTCCTAGACGAGCCGATATATCACCGACATAACATCTAAGTGGCAAATCTGGACCGCATTCCTGTCTATAAAGATCATCCTAGGAAGAGATTATTTGATAGAACAATCATTTTAGTGAACAATATATTTTATTCCTACATATATATATCACAAATAATTTTTTAATTTATCAAAATATAATTTTATTATATATAATGTGTCTAATTTTATTATGTATATTATGAATATCAATAATATTTACATTCAGTGGATCGGCTAATTGAGTGAAATAGGGATTCCACATGTATCCACCCGCCACGCATCGAGTATCTTTCACCTTTACTGTAGCATCTACACCTACAGGATTTACGTATATCGCCCAATTATGATTTTTAGTCTAAAATTAAATGTATGAGATTAGCATATGTTCGTTAAATATATACGTCATGAAAATCTCGGATTTATTTTCTTACAATATTGCGATCGTGTTTCCCGGGATGTCGTAAATTCACTTCGATCACCGTCTCACTTTGACTACCGTCTTTATACACAAGCTGTGTCTGCAAACGTCAACTAATATTCCTAAATAATCTTGTATATTTTTTAGTAAAAGTTAAAAAAGATATTTACCATTTTTATGTAACCGTATACGAAGCCTTGTGGATGATGAAACGATGCAATAGCACGTAATTCACTGGCTTCAGTCGGAGAATATCCTCTCTCTATGGTAGAGCATGCCCACCTAAATACAGACACGAAATATGAGAAAGGATAAAGTAAAAATACATACATCGATTTTACCTTAAATTCTTTTCTTTCTTATGAATCACTATGCTACGTCCTAGTATACTTCTTGGGCCAAACAATGGTAACATAGTATCATTATATGTTATTGCATATCTCTTTTTATTGTCCAAGCTGCCATATTTCCCGCTCAAATCACCCATCTCGTATTGATCCAACGTACCTTCCTCCGTTGCTGGTACCTTATTCGTATCGACACCCAATGGATTCCAATGTCCGTAGAGCGATGTTCCCTCGCATGGAAATTCTAAATCGTTTTCTACAGGTGTCTGTAATTATATATAATAATAGTTAATAGTCAATATGAAGAACACTTTAAATTAACAAAGATTGAATTTGCATCGATTATTATGATATAAAAAAAATTATATAAAATTTTCGCTGAGAAATGTACAGTAAATTTCTATGCTCCTTTTTTATAATTGAATTTAAATCATCTAAAATGTATGATGTTAAATTTTTATAATTAATATTTATATAATTTATATATATATAATTAATATTGTACCATGTGTACGTGATATCCGCTCATCTTTCCATTGAGACCTTCAAGAGATACTTCTACGTTAGTCGCATCATATTCGGTCTGCTGCAATAATTCTAATTTTCCCTTCAGAGATATCTGTTCACCATTACCGAACCAATCTTTGACGACTGCTTTACGCCGATAAACTCCACCAATACTAAAAATGTAATTATACATCTATTGCAAAAGATTATATTAATTATATGTTTATTGCACATTTATTACGCATTTACATGGAACAAGCCAAACGCTCTCCTCTTGCGACTGGACCATGATCGTCATAGATGACTAAACTCTTGCCAAACAATGCGTGAGATCCTGATAAAGGTAACATCGTGTCGGTAAAAAGTTTTCGAGTCAATTCTGAAGCATTGGCTTTTCTTCCAGCAATTTCAAGTGTTTCGTGTCTCGTTAAATCACCTAAGCGACATAATAAGGGTTCTGCAATGGAGCAAGAACTATCTGATTTCCATTCCACCTGAAATATCATGGTCCTTAATAAATATATAAAATTATATTCGAGAAGTACCAAAGAAAAGCGCAAAAAGAAATAGTTAAATTTGTTATTTTTCAAAATGTTATATTTTTTATAGCTGTAATTTTTAAGAAAATTATTCTATATAATTTTCCTGTGCTTTGGACGTTTTTAAAGCATAAGCAATTTTTCACAGAGCGAGAGAGAAGAGAGTATTTCATCAATTTATTTTGCAAATTTGTTTCTCAATTTATTTTATAAATTTCGTTTTCATTTTATTTTAAAAAGTTTAATTAATTATGATACCTTGTATGGATTGTAAGGCGAGCCAGCGCTCAAGCATCGAGCTGTCCAATTGTAAAAATCTTTTCCGGGTGGATTGTCATGTATCATCCATCTGATGAAATGGTAGCTGATTATCTGATGATAGTTATTTTTATAGTTCTATTATGCAATATCACTACCTATGGTCCGCAGTATTATTTGCATTGCCGTCCGCATAAACAAGATGTTCTATTATTATAGTAGTGTCCATTTCGGGATCATCTTTGGGTTGTCGAAAGAGTATCCGTCCAACAATTGGATACCTGAATACTACTTCCGCTGTGTACATCGACATTTGCCAATTGGTATGATGCGTGTAAAGCGCAAACGTGCCACACACCCATGGAATTACACCTTTATTATCAGTTTCATTATATCTGATAAGAAAATATACGTGTTTTTAATATGAAAAAACTCTTATATAATATATATGTATTTTACATATATATATATATATATATATATATATATATATATATATTAACCATTATATATTTATATGATCAATTACTTGTAAAGAACTAAAGATCTATGAACGATACTGTGGATCCCGGAAAGTGGTAAATATGTGTCCCAATAAATTCCACTAAGTTTAGCGCTCCCGGGCAAAATGTCATTATGATAATATCCTTCTTTACGACCTTGAAGTTTTCCAGAAAGATCACCGATAGCATATTGATCTTGGGTTCCGAAACCTATTTCGTTTAATCACAAGAAAATTAGAATATTTACACGTTTTCTTAAACTCATTGGTTTAATTTTTTTTAATTAATTGCACTATATATGTAATATATTATAATTATATTATATTTACAATATATGCATATGTAGCTCATTCTTATAGTAATTATCATTACCTGCCGGAGGAGTAGTCTTTTCAACGATATTCAAAGGATTGAATAAGTTTTTAGTAGTTAAACATGTGTCAATAGTAATTCCCACACTTTTCGCCGGTTCCGGGGGCAACTCATGGATTCTATAAGACGCCAATTTAGTAGCGTATCGTAATCTAGTTTCTAAATCATTTATAGTTGTTAAAGAGATATTGATCCATGTTGGATCGAACGGCGTTTCTTGAATCGCTGTAACTTCTCCTTTAATTCCATGTGAATTGATTACAGCCCTATAAATATTTTTTTTACAGAACTTTACTTTTAAGAAATTTTTTTTAAAGACTATATTTTATTACAATTTTGTTTTAGTTTTATATATTAAATAGATATTTTTTAGAGAAAAAGAAATTAATATTATAGGCAATTGGTGCGAAATTAACATTATAATTTAATTTATCAAAGTAAAGTTTTTTTGTTTAATTATACAAATATGATAAGATTGAAGTGCTCTTACTTTGTATGTATCGGTTTACGATGATTAATTTTGGCACAGGCTAAGAACGAATCCTCATGCGTGGGATGAAAAATGACTAGATATAAATGACGATGTGGACCAAGCAGATCCGCTGGTAATAAAGACAATTCTGGATCTCTATAGAATGCTTTATACTGTTCCTGTGTATTGATAGCAATTTTTATTTTGCCTAAACGTACATCGACGTCTCCGATAGATTTTCCAACACCAGATGTATGAGGATCAAATACATTTTGAAGTATGTTACAGTTGTCTTTATCTGTAAAAAATGTGTGCAAGAGAGAGTATTTTAAATATAATGATAGATATTATTAAATGATCAATATTATTATTAATATTATTAATAATATGATTAATAAAATATTATTAATAAAATAGCAATTGAAAAAGAAATTAGTAATTTAATATATTTTTATATATTTTTATATATTTAATATATTTAATATATTTAATATATTTAATATATTTTTAAATTATACAGACATGTGGATACTGACCTTTGCCAGCTTCAAAAATATCCGTAACATATATCTTCCAATTATGTTCAGTGTAATTAAGTGACTGTAATTTTTGTCCACGAATATGATGCAAATTTGCATTGATAATTGTATCGGTAGGCTCATCAACGCCCAACTGACCACCCAACCATCGAAACAAAACTATTCCAGCTACTGGACCGTAAAAACGTGCCTGAGCAAATTTTTCGATATTCTTTTCAAGAACCTGAAGAGAGACAGAAAAAAATATGAAACAATGTTGCATCATATGTTATAATAAAAATAATTATAATTAAAAAAATATTAATTATAATTTAAAAAATAATTATAATTAAAAATTGACAATATTAAGAGTAATTCGTTATTATAATTCGAAAGATCGATAATTTTTAGATTAATTATTTGATTATTCGATTATAATTGTAATTTATAGTTACTTGTAATTATCCCTTATCTTTTGCTTAGGAAGCGAATATTTTCTCTTCGTTCTTTCATTTTTAAATAGATTACAGTTTTAGATTATTTATATTTTAGATCAATTACCGTGATCGAAGCACATATTGTTCTCGACGAATAATTATCTTTCAGCACTAAACCCTTTCCCCATAAACCCATTTCTCCAGTTAAAAACAAATCCGCAACTTCTATCGAACCTGTTTGATTTGTTGGCAATTCGAGAGGTCCGACTTTTTCTGTCAAATCGATGATACTGCATATAAAGTAAAACAAAATAGCAATCGTAAAGAAAAATAAAATATATTCATCTATCTTAAATAAAGATACTTAAACTTGTAATTCTTGAAATATTATAAATTTGTATTCTTGGAAATATAAAATGTAAAATATAAAAAAAATATAAATATAAAATATCAAAAATAAATAAAAAATAAATATGAAATATAATATAATTTATAATATATACATTGTACCTCTCGCCAATATATCGTTTGTCGCATCTGTCGTTGATGATCGTGTAATCGACCGGAAACTGAGTGACCGACCACAGCCATTGCTGATCCGGATATTGCAAGGTCGCTTTCAGGGAATATCGTATTCGTACCGAGGATTCTGTGGCCCTTTCGAAACGAATTTCTCCGTGAAGGCCACCGGAAGATATATATGCAGCGAGTTTAAGAGAACTCGCGATAGTCGCTGAACAAGATATATTTCTTAATTTAATCTCCTCGAATATAACATTTCGTCATTTTCTTTCTTTCTTTAGGATCTTTTAAACTTAAATTAAAAGCCTCGCGAAAGAATCATCTGTGTCAAGAATCAAAAGTGTTTAATTGTTCCGTTTAATGTATGTCATAATCTAAAAAATTTGAAGATTACATCTAAAGCGTAAAGATTATGTTTAAGGCCAAGAAAAAAATTGATACAAAATTTATAAGATTTTCGGGAAAAAATACGCTCTCTCTCTTTTACAAATGATAAAACTGTTATTTTTCACGTTCGTTAAAGTCACGTTAAAATCTTTCGCAATGCAAGATAATTAAGTGATATTTCTTTATTTAAAAAAAAAACGATATCTAACTTTCTCAATCGTAAATAGTGTTGAGATCGAATATTATTTCATAAAATGTAAACGGAAAGCGCGCTTTCACTCACCGTAACAAAGTAATAAAAACCACTGCATCGCAATTGGCGAACATGGAGAAATGTCTTCTTAGGTTCTTTTCTTTTAAAATTCACACAAACTTTGTCAATATGGATAAAGTTGAGAATTGTTACAATTGTACATGCGTCATACGATAAGAAATCATGGTCGAACGACGAAACAACCGACCAAACTGGCTGAAGTAACGGCTTGTACTTTCTTATTTCTTGTGATAGACTTGGTGGGAGTGAAAGAGAACGATGACCTCTGTAAAAATGAAAGTTGCATAGCACAGTTATATCTGATAATTTTAAACAAATTTTTTTGTCAACAAAGAAAATGAAATAAATAAAACATTTGTATTTGTAATTATGCAGATTTTTATAAAAATGATTTTGAACGTAATTTGTAACGTAATTAGGAATTGTAATCACTTGTCAAAGAAATAAACATTTAAATATAATTATCAATAATGTGCATTCAAATTTAATAATTCCATTTATACAGTACATTTTTATTTTAATTGTTATTTTTAATGCATTTGTAATATAAGAGAAAAATTATTATTTTGATATCTATCTGCTCAATAAAAGCAATATTTGTTTGTGTACAAAAAATATATTATACATCATTTGTAAATGCTTTAGAATTTGTTAAATATCTTTTGAAATATTATTATTCTTTACGCATCAAAGAAGATTGCAAAAATAATAATATTTTTAGTCTAATATATTGGAAAAAGTAATAATAATTTTCACGTATCTGATAAAACAATTTCCCAGAGAATCTTTGTGGAAGTCTGAATGGAAATTTTCCAAATCATTCTAAAAGTTTCGATAAATTTCCCTATAAAAAATCCAGTCGAAGAGAACACTGATATTTAAAATTATATCTGTCGCGCTGCTTGCACTCCTTAAAAATTTAAAATGAGATAAATATATATTGAGCATTAAAGAAAGAGAGAAAGAAAACGTTGAGTGTAGAAAGTCGGGAGCGTCTCGTTTGACTACAGCCAATTATATCGATCTGTGTCTAGGGTACCCAGCAACGATTGACCAATCAGAGAGTCCTATTTTGAACTGGCCAATTGACGACGTGGACAATCGGGTGCCACCTAGAAAGTGCAAGTAACGGGTGGCACCCGATTGACCACGTCGCCAATTGGCCAATTCAAAATAGGACTCTCTGATTGGTTAATCGTTGCTGGTTACCCTAGGCACAGGTCGATATAATTGGCTGTAGTCAATCGCAACGTGGTCAAACGGGACGCTCCCACACGAACAGATCTAATAGTAGAACATCTTGTACGTTTCTTGCTATGGTTTCTTGCTAGTAAGCTCTCTTGGTTACATAGTTAATGATCGATTAATGATAATTTATCGAAATAAACGAAATAACCATGGCGGATGCTGCGGCTCGTCAATTACAATACGAATATAAAGCGGTTTGTATCTCTTACATTTGTCATTTACTTGTCATTTTAGTAACGTAATAATTGCCTCTAAAATTTTCTGAATATATACCTATTATTTTACCTGTAAACGTAATTTATAAATTTATACAGTGTGTTGTTTTTAATGTCGCGTTTATGGCATGTGATATTACTTTATATTGCATAATATAATAATTGTTGCTTGCAGAACTCTAATCTTGTTTTACAAGCTGACGTCCGGTTAATAGAGAGACGTAGTCGAGATGAAGCTACTGGTGAAGTTATGTCCCTTGTGGGAAAACTGGATGGTACACGCATGGGTGACAGAGCCCAGCGCACCAAGCCAGGAAAAGCAGAGGAAAGAAAAGTCAAGTATGTTTATCATCAAAATAATATTCAATTCTTGCAATAGAATATTCTGTCAATAGAATAATCTCTATGTACTTTTATAATGTTAGAAAAATTTTTACTACAATTCTCAATAATGTTGAGTTTATAGTTGAAAACTAATATTTAAACTAATATTTAAACTAATATTAAAACTAATTTTTTTATTATATTTTTTTAGACGTCAAAAACGTGATGAAGCACAGTATGACTTTGCACGTATGAAAGGAGCAACATTACTGTCCGAAGGTGTGGATGAAATGGTTGGTATTGTATATCGTCCAAAAACACAAGAGACACGTCAAACTTATGAGGTATTACTCAGTTTTATACAAGAAGCTTTAGGTGATCAACCACGCGATATCCTTTGTGGCGCAGCCGATGAAGTACTGGCTGTGTTAAAGAATGATAGGCTCAAAGAGAAAGAGAAGAAAAAAGAGACAGAACTTTTACTTGGTTTATTAGCAGAAGAAAGATTTGCTCTGCTTGTCAACCTTGGAAAAAAAATCACAGATTTTGGCAATGATGAAAAAAGTACAACAAACGATGAAAATATTGATGAAACATATGGAATTAATGTACAGTTTGAAGAGAGTAGCGAAGAGGATGATGAGGATGTGTATGGAGAAGTCAGAGAAAATGACGACGAAGGAGACGAAGGTGAAGAAGCTAATGACGACAGGGCTATTCATGCAGAAAATGTAAGTATTTGTTTGATTATTACTAATAGTAATTAGCTCGAAATTAAATGTTTGTTTCTAATATAGCTATACTTTTTCAGTTGGGTGGTACAGAAGAAATGAAGAAAGAAAAACCATTACATCCATTAGATATAGATGCATATTGGTTACAAAGAAGATTAAGTAGAATATATGATGATGCTATGGTTTCGCAAGCGAGAGCTGCTGAAGTATTAGCCGTTTTGAAGGATGCTGCAGATGATCGCGAATGCGAAAATCAGCTTGTGTTACTGTTGGGCTATGATTGCTTCGACTTTATCAAACAACTTAAAAAGTATAGGCATACAGGTAAGAATTGCATTATAAAAGTCTATATGATAAGAAGTTTGTATTTGTACAATTCTTAATTTTTTTAATGATTTTAAAAAGAATAAATAAAAATAATTTTATTTGTAAAATTAACAGTTGCATACTGTACAATGTTGGCCTCATCGCAGTCTGAATCAGAAAGACAAAAAATTCGTAACAAGATGAATGATGAGCCAGTGCTGGCGAAAATCTTACGACAATTAGACACAGGTAAAGGTGAAGATGATGCCGACGAGACAATGGAAGCGAGATCGCAGCGCAAGAGACGAGAAGAGAACGAAGACACAGGAGGTCCTGGAGGACAGGTTCAAGGTACAAGAAATTTGATAGATTTGGACGATCTAATATTCGCTCAGGGAAGCCACTTTATGGCGAATAAACGTTGCCAGCTACCTGATGGCAGTTTTCGAAAACAGCGAAAAGGGTAATTATATAAATACTTTCAAGTTCTTATCAAAACATTCATCACCTTTGTTACCTGCATTAATATTCGATTACTCATAAAATATTTGCAGATACGAAGAAGTTCACGTTCCTGCCTTAAAGCCGAAACCGTTTGCGGAAAATGAGAAGTTACATCCGATCGAACAATTGCCTAAATATGTGCAACCTGCTTTCGAAGGTTTCAAGACATTGAATCGCATACAGAGTCGTTTGTATCAAACGGCTTTGGAAAGTGACGAAAATTTGTTATTGTGCGCTCCAACAGGAGCGGGTAAAACTAACGTAGCTCTATTATGCATGATGCGAGAAATCGGAAAGCATATAAATGCCGATGGTACGATTAATGCGGATGAATTCAAAGTCATTTACGTCGCTCCGATGCGTTCATTAGTACAGGAAATGGTTGGCAATTTTCGTAAACGATTGTCAACGTATAATCTGACAGTCTCCGAGTTGACAGGCGATCATCAGTTAACGCGAGAGCAAATCGCTGCCACTCAAGTAATAGTATGTACCCCGGAAAAGTGGGACATCATAACGAGAAAAGGTGGTGAAAAAACTTTTACATCGCTAGTACGGTTGATTATTATCGACGAGATTCACCTGTTGCATGATGAGAGAGGTCCTGTTCTAGAAGCATTAGTTGCGAGAACAATACGAAATATTGAGACTACCCAAGAGGATGTGCGATTAGTTGGTTTATCAGCCACGTTACCCAATTATCAAGACGTAGCGGCATTCTTGCGAATCAAACCGGAATCAGGACTATTCTATTTCGACAACAGCTTCCGGCCTGTGGCTCTGGAACAGCAGTATATCGGCGTCACCGAAAAGAAAGCGCTAAAACGCTTTCAAGTGATGAATGAGATCGTCTATGAAAAAACAATGGAACACGCCGGCAGAAATCAGGTTTTGATATTCGTGCACTCGCGCAAGGAAACCGGAAAAACGGCACGCGCTATTAGAGACATGTGCCTGGAAAAAGACACTCTAGGTCAATTTCTTAGAGAGGGTTCCGCGTCGATGGAAGTTTTGAGAACGGAAGCGGAGCAAGTGAAAAATCAAGAACTCAAGGATTTGTTGCCGTACGGATTCGCGATTCATCACGCTGGTATGACCCGTGTGGATCGCACATTGGTGGAGGATCTCTTCGCCGACAGACATATTCAAGTTCTCGTATCTACTGCGACTTTAGCTTGGGGTGTTAATTTGCCGGCTCATACGGTCATCATTAAGGGAACTCAAGTTTATAATCCGGAAAAAGGCAGATGGGTAGAGCTGGGCGCTCTTGATGTACTGCAAATGTTAGGAAGAGCTGGTCGACCTCAATATGATACCAAGGGCGAAGGTATTCTTATCACAAATCACAGCGAGTTACAGTATTATCTATCGCTTCTAAATCAACAACTACCCATTGAATCGCAATTAATCAGCAAGATGTCTGATATGTTAAATGCGGAGGTAGTGCTAGGTACAATCCAGAATATCAGAGATGCGGTTACCTGGCTCGGTTATACTTATCTTTACATCAGAATGCTTCGTTGCCCAAATCTATATGGGATAAGTCACGACAAATTGAAGCAGGATAGTTTATTAGAGCTGCATAGAGCTGATCTGATTCATTCGGCTGCAGTCGGATTAGATCGCAGCGGTTTAATCAAATACGATCGCAAGTCCGGTAATTTTCAGGCAACCGAATTGGGCAGAATAGCGTCTCATTATTATTGCACTCACGACACGATGTCTACGTACAATCAGTTGCTAAAACGCACATTGAGCGAGATAGAGTTGTTCCGCGTATTTTCGCTGTCGAGCGAATTCAAGAATATAAATGTCAGGGAGGAAGAAAAATTAGAGCTACAGAAATTAATGGAGAGAGTGCCAATACCTGTGAAAGAGAGCATCGAAGAACCAAGCGCGAAGGTAAATGTACTTTTACAGGCATATATCTCACAACTGAAGCTCGAAGGATTCGCTCTCATGTCCGATATGGTATTTGTGACGCAATCCGCCTCACGTCTGATGCGAGCCATTTTTGAAATAGTTCTGTTTCGCGGTTGGGCGCAGTTGGCAGATAAATGTCTCTCTTTATGCAAGATGATCGATCGTAGGATGTGGCAATCGATGTCACCGCTCAGGCAATTCCGCAAGATGCCGGAAGAGATTGTGAAGAAGATCGAGAAGAAGAATTTCCCGTGGGAGAGACTGTACGATCTGGGTCCCAACGAGATCGGAGAATTGATTCGTGTACCGAAATTAGGCAAGACCATTCACAAATACGTTCACCAATTTCCGAAGCTCGGCTTGTCGACACATATCCAGCCTATCACGCGTTCCACCTTGCGAGTCGTGCTAACTATTACACCAGACTTCCAATGGGATGAGAAAATTCACGGTATGTCGGAAGCGTTTTGGATCCTGGTCGAAGATGTCGATTCAGAGGTGATACTGCATCACGAGTACTTTTTATTAAAAGCCAAATACGCGGCTGACGAGCATATCATCAAGTTTTTCGTCCCGGTTTTCGAGCCTCTACCGCCGCAATATTTCTTACGTATGGTATCTGACCGGTGGATCGGCGCAGAGACGCAATTGCCTGTAAGTTTTCGACATTTGATACTACCTGAGAAGAATCTACCACCCACGGAATTATTGGATCTGCAAGCGCTACCAATCACGGCACTGCGAAATACGAAGTTTGAAAACATCTACTCCGAATTCCCGCAATTTAATCCGATTCAAACACAGGTGTTCAACGCGGTTTACAATTCCGATGATAATGTATTTGTCGGAGCGCCCACAGGTTCTGGAAAGACAACCATCGCGGAATTTGCAGTATTGAGATTGCTGACGCAAAACTCAGAAGGCAGATGCGTATATATGGTGAGTAAAGAAGCATTGGCCGAATTGGTCTACGACGACTGGGCGAAGAAATTCGGCCAACAATTAGGAAGGAAAGTCGTCCTTCTGACGGGCGAAACGGGAACAGATCTGAAGCTATTGGCCAAGGGACAGATTATTATCACCACGGCGGATAAATGGGACGTGCTGTCACGCAGATGGAAACAACGGAAGAACGTGCAGAACATCCAGTTATTCATCGTAGATGAGCTACAGTTGATTGGTGGCGAAGAAGGTCCCGTGCTGGAGGTCGCGTGCTCGCGAGCACGTTACATCTCTTCGCAGCTCGACAAACCCACCAGAATAATAGCGTTGTCGGCTTCGTTGGGTGACGCTAAAGACGCCGCGCAGTGGCTGGGTGCACCAGCAGCGGCTACTTTCAATTTTCATCCTTCTGTGCGACCGGTGCCGCTGGAGTTGCATGTCCAAGGTATAAACGTCACTCACAATGCATCAAGATTGGCCGCTATGGCGAAACCAGTATATAATGCAATCCTCCGGCATGCGGCACATAAACCGGTAATCATATTCGTGCCCACTCGTCGACAAGCGAGATTAACGGCTATCGACTTGCTAACGTTCACGGCAGCTGAAGGTCAACCGTCGAAATTCTTCCATGCGGAAGAAGCCGACATCAAACCGTTCCTCGATCGGATGGTGGATAAAACATTGAAGGAGACTCTATCGCAAGGTGTGGCTTATCTTCACGAGGGCTTATCGGCCGATGATCGTCGTTTGGTCGAACGATTGTTCGACAGCGGCGCTATTCAAGTGGCAGTAGCTACGAGGGATCTCTGCTGGGGTTTATCCATCAATTCTCACTTGGTTGTAGTCATGGATACACAGTGTTACAACGGTAAAACACATGCCTATGAAGATTATCCGATCACAGACGTTTTGCAGATGGTGGCGCGAGCTAATCGTCCGCTGGAGGATGAGGATGCCAAGTGCGTGCTCCTGTGTCAGAGCTCGAAGAAAGATTTCTTCAAGAAGTTTCTCAACGAACCATTACCGGTGGAGAGTCATCTGGATCGGCGATTACACGATCACTTCAACGCGGAGATTGTGACAAAGACTATCGAAAACAAACAGGATGCAGTCGATTATCTCACGTGGACCTTCCTATATCGACGACTTACCCAGAATCCCAATTATTACGGCCTGCAGGGCGTTACACATCGGCATCTCTCAGATCATCTATCCGAGCTAGTCGAGAGTACATTGACCGATCTTGAACAAGCTAAATGTGTCGCCGTGGAGGATGAAATGGACACCCTGCCGCTCAATTTAGGAATGATCGCCGCCTACTACTACATCAATTACGCCACTATCGAATTGTTCAGTCTGTCTCTCAACAACAAGACGAAGATTAGAGGCTTGCTAGAGATTATTTCGGCAGCCGCCGAGTACGAGAGCGTTCCAGTGCGACAGAGGGAAGAAAATTTATTGAGAAGTCTAGCCGCGCGTTTACCTCATGCACCACAAGCTACCAGAATGGCTGATCCTCACGTAAAAGCACAATTATTGTTACAGGCTCATTTGTCGAGGATACAATTGGGTCCAGAGTTGCAAAAGGACACCGAGCTGGTGCTGGGCAAAGCCGTAAGGCTGATACAAGCTTGCGTCGACGTGTTGAGCTCCTCCGGATGGTTAGCACCCGCCGTTGCTGCTATGGAATTGGCGCAGATGGTGACGCAGGCAATGTGGTCCAAAGATTCCTACCTGAAGCAGTTGCCGCACTTTACAGCTGAGACCATAAAACGCTGCACCGACAAGGGCGTGGAAACTGTATTCGACGTAATGGAGCTCGAGGATGATGACCGAAATCGGCTGTTGCAGCTGACGGACGCGCAAATGGCGGATGTCGCCAAGTTCTGTAATCGTTATCCCAACATCGAGATGTCGTACGAGGTACAAGACAAGGATAAGCTACGCAGTGGCGGCACGGTAAATGTGATCGTGCAATTGGAACGAGAGGACGAGGTCACCGGGCCAGTGGTGGCGCCATTTTTCCCGCAGAAACGCGAAGAGGGCTGGTGGGTGGTGATCGGCGACCCGAAGAGCAACTCCCTACTATCTATCAAACGGCTAACGTTGCAGCAGAAGGCAAAGATCAAACTGGATTTTGTCGCCCCGGCTCCTGGCCAGCATTCCTACACTTTGTACTTTATGAGTGACGCTTATCTCGGCTGCGATCAAGAATATAAATTTACCATCAGTGTCGGAGAGTATGAATCGGATGCCAGTTCCGGTTCCGATTCCGATTGAATCGTTTCAATCTTTAATATGTACCATAGTATATATTTATCATTTTCTCACATACAGAGTATATTTCTCAAATATTTCAATATCACCATCCAATCAATCCGATTATTATTTTTTTTTTTTTACACAATTTCAATTGGAATAATTATGAAAAAAATACACACGTGCGTAGAATCCGGTAAGAATCTAAAAGTAACAATCATTTAGTATAAACACACTCAGTGTTACGATAATTATTGTTAGATAATTAAGAATAAAGTTTATATTTAAATGGAGGAGTGCTATTGTCCATTACTTTTTAACTATATATTCTTATTTTATAATGAATCAATGATTTTTACATATAAAAAATATATAAGATATTAATCTTAATATTATCAGTATTTATCATCTATATAAATTTTATCATTTTTAGATAATAGTTTAAATGATATAAGGGAGAAATTAATGTATTAAAAAAATAAAATATAGCATATTAAATTAAATATAAGATATTAAAAAATAAAATATTAAATTAATACATAAATTTATGCATAAATATATTTTTAATGTTCAGAATTTCACTAGTATTACTATTGTCATTATCGTAAAGCCTGTATCAGACTATGTGCATCAAGGATTAAAATTAAAGATGAATATTAAAATTTAATCAATGAGGACGAGAAAATTCGAGTTCATTCATCGAAGTTCAATGACATTACCGATGCCTAGGTTAACCAATACGGTTGACCAATGAAAATCCTAATGGAGCGTTCGCATTGCGTTCGATTTTCGACAGGCAGCATCCAATAGGAAAGCTTGTTTTATATAAAACAAGCTCTCGTATTGGATATCGGACAGCGTCGAAAGACGTCGAAAATTGTACGCAATGTGAATAAAGTTCAACTGGCCAATTGGCGACGTAGGCTATCTTGGATCATCGGGTCCCGTCGAAAATTCGCCAGCTGCTTTCCCGTCTACAGTTCGCCGACCGTTGGCTTCTCCTCTATCCGATCCTCTTCGGTTACGCTGACCTCAAGAGTTCTCTTTAAAACGTCCCACGTCGGTCACACCAGGTTCGCGGTAGAAGTTGTTCTACGGTTTATACGTGATTCTAAGTAAGTAACGCGGGGCCCAGGCGTCGGGGATCATCGACGCGGCGAAATTGGCGAGATTCGCGCGCGTTTCGCCGGGTTTTTTCGCGGATATCTTAATGGCTTCGGCCATCATCGTGGTCACGCATCGCGCGCGATCTTAACCTCTGAATCAGCCGTTGGCATTATGTGCGTAATCCGCCGGCCTTGCATGTACGTCATATGGAGCGCGCCCGATGAGAACGGCGCGATTCCTGCCGCCATTTGTCAAAAATCACGCTTAACGGCTTCGAGTATCTGAACGCAACGTGAGCATCTTGCGCGCGCGCTTCCCTTGATTCTTTCACATTTTTCGCAAAATTCCACTCTCAAAGATTGTCAAATATAGCAAATCGTCGTGACAATCGCACGAGATGGAATTCTTGAGCGTTCGTTTGCACCGTCTTTTCTTCGCGAATTTTCTAGCGTTTCGCAATTTTTCGTAATTTACTTTTCCCGGAAAGATATAAATTGGAGTTTAATATAAATAGAAAAAAATGATGGTGTAATTTTATATAATTATATTGATTTTTTTTTTCTTATATATTTTTCAGAAAGGTATTGTATGAGTCAAAAAATAGAAAAACCGATATTATCAGGTCAACGCATAAAGACCAGAAAAAGAGGTATGGATAAATTGTGCTTTTATTATGCGAGATTTTATATTCGCAAGGTATTGAGTAGAAACAAAATTCTCAAATTTGCAGATGAAAGAGAAAAATATGATCCAACTGGGTTTCGGGATGCGGTGTTACTTGGCTTGGAAAAAGCTGGTAACGACTTAGAAGCAATTTCTAAATATCTGGACGCGGCTGGTTCCAAGTTAGACTATCGTCGATATGGGGAAGCACTGTTTGATATCATGATAGCTGGAGGCCTTTTAGTTCCTGGTGGTTCTATTGCTCTAGATGGTGACAAACCGGTCAAGACCAGTGCATGTGTTTTCGAGCAATCAGAGGACATGGAATCCATGCGAAATTTCGAACAGGTAAGAGCTATAAAAATTAAGCATTTAGAAACTATTTTAAAATTCTTATAATCATTATAAGTCGAATAATGAATTTGTTTGAATAAATAGGTCTTTATCAAGCTCATGCGACGTTATAAATATTTGGAAAAAATGTTTGAAGAGGAGATGAAGAAAGTATTGGTCTTTATGAAAGGATTTTCACCTAAAGAAAGGATTAAGCTAGCTAGAATGACAGCACTATGGATCTCAAATGGTTCTGTGCCACCCACAGTTCTCTCGGTTCTGATCAATGAGCATCTTGTTAAAGACAACCTGGCATTAGATTTTCTATTGGAAGTCTTTGTTACTTGGAAACAGGAGAAGGGTTTATCTAGTTTAATGACAGCTCTGAAAAAAGGAGGCATTGAGGGAAAGTAAGATTAAAATATATGTATTATAAAATTTATTATGAAATACACACACACACACACACACATATTGTAAAATTCATTATGAAATATAATTGTATAAATGACCAAGACTTTCATTATTCATGAATTATAATTTTACTTGCTAATACAATTCTTTTACTGATATATTTTAGGTTGATGGAATTTGTACCACCAAATAAACGAACAGAAGAGCATTTCCGATCTGTATTTGAAGCAGTAGGACTGGCAGATATTGTGAAATTACACAAGGCTCAAGCCAGTCAGGAAGCCAAACGAGATTTGCAACAACTTCTTTTGGATGACTTAGCAGAGAATAGGCCAATGAAAGATATAACATTAGATCTCAAAGAAATGGCACAAAGAAGTTGCATTCCCGAACACGAAGTGATTGGATTGGTAATGTCTCTTTCTTTTTTAAATTTGATTAAAATTTTTTGAGAGAGAAAAAAGAAAAATCTTTTAGAAATAATAATCTCTATCTACAGATTTGGGTTGTTGTAATGGGCCAAGCTGAATGGAACAAAAAAGAAGAATTAGTTGCTGAACAAGCACTGAAACATCTAAAAACTTATACTCCATTATTCGGTGCTTTTACCACCACTGCCAGATCTGAACTCGCACTTATTCTCAAGGTCCAGGAGTTCTGTTATGAGAATATGAACTTTATGAAAGTCTTCCAGAAGATTGTTTTACTCTTTTATAAAAGTATGTTAATATACATATTTTATATACAAAATAACCAAAAAATAAACATTCTCTGGGGAATAGTGTATTATACATATATTACATTTAAATATTTTTCTGCATTTATATATATATAAATATATGTGTGTGTGTGTGTGCATTTAATTTATATATATATATATATATATATATATATATATATATATGTGCATTTAATTTAGTATTTTATATATAATTTAATTGATTATTTTTGAATTTCAGCCAATGTTGTATCAGAAGATGTAATATTAAAATGGTATAAAGAGGGTCATTCGGTTAAAGGAAAAATGCTCTTTTTAGACCAAATGAAAAAATTTGTTGAGTGGCTACAGAGTGCTGAAGAGGAATCGGGATCAGGAGAAGAAGAAGATTAAAAATATTGAAGTAAATTGTTTATATAAAACTATGCAAAATATATGCATTTTATGTGACACTGTTTTAAATTATCATCCTTCACAGAAGAACGCATCATTGCCAGTGATGAAAAATGACATAGTCCCAAAATTTCAAAGCAAATCAAGAACAACTCAATATCACGATCGGGAAAGACATGAAATCATGAACTCTATTGAAAATATACAAAATAAAAATAAAACTTAAGTCAATGTTAGGTACACCATGACAGATCAGGTATTCGAAAGAATAGGAAATTTTTAAATTGTCAATAAAAATTCTAATATTAACACATCCAATCAGTGTTAAGGAACTGTAAATTTGCAATGTCTTTGAATTGTATTACTTTAAGAAAAAAATATTTTGTGTTACATTTTTATAAGCTCCACTACAAAATATATACAGAATAACAAAGAAATTATAAGAAAAGAAAAAAAATCTTTATCCCTGTGTACGTACAATTTTCGGATCCCTATCTTTCTTTGTATATAATAATATTGTACTAGTTTATAGAAAATATATACTGACAGGTGGTGTTTAATATTCGATCTCTCTCTCTTTCTCTCTTTTAGTGATTCCTAACTTCCTTTCATTATAGCATAAACAAGTTCTTTAAGAAAATTTTTCTTTATAGAGTTTATTATATGTATATGTGTGTACATATATATCTACGCGTGACTTTATGTAGCTCGACTCCTAATTGGCAGATCCCAAATTTAATCACGAATGTTTTATTTATTTAGAATAAGATTTTGGATATTAAAAATCACTTAAGATTTATTGTCTAGATTTATTATATTTAAGTTTTACTTAGATTTAATTTTTGTTTGTACTTATAAATTCTCATGTCTGCTATAGGTTGCTTCTTAATAAGTGTTTTGCCCTTCATTAGAGGCACCAACTTTTCTGGGACAGTAATGCGATGATGTTTCGTCTGATAAGTCTCGCATAACGCAATTAGCATGCGAGGTATCGCACACGCAGTGCCATTCAATGTATGCATATAAACTGTGTTTCCTTCTTTCGTTTTGTACTTGATGTTGAGACGTCTAGATTGATAATCTGTACAATTACTACAACTAGACAATTCACCATATTGTTTTCTTCCAGGCATCCAGCCTTCTATATCGTATTTTCTAAAAAGAGAAAGAAAAACAACAAAAGTATTGCATTTGTATATGTAAGGCAAAGTAGACTATGCATAATTCAAATATGATTATAGTACCTATAAGCTGATGAACCTAGATCACTTGGAGGCATATCCATTACTTGAAAATGTAAACCTAACGAAGAGAACAATTCTCCTTGTATGTTTTGAAGATCTTGAAACACTTTCTCAGATTGGCATGGTTCGGAACAGACAAACATTTCCACTTTGGTGAATTGATGAACTCTGTTAAAGCGTGGTAAATTAAAAAATATATTTCATAATTTTTGAAAATATATCTATACACATACACACACTTTAATAATAATATGCATTACCTATATATTCCTCTTTCATCTAGTGCACTTGAAGCTTCCGCGCGATAACATCGACTAACAGCGGCTAATTTCAGTGGTAATTTATCATAAGGGAATGTAGTATTTATTAACTTTCTCGCTAGTGACATTTCTGCAGTCCCAGATAGACTATAATCATCTCCACAACAAGGATCTAAATTATATACAAGAGTTCGATCATCTGTTATTAAACCACATCTCTCGATAACTTCAGTTTGAATAATATCAGGAACCGATATTAACTTAAAACCATGCTTCATCAATTCCCTAATAGTGTATTGAATCAATGCCTCTTCCAATTCTGCCAAATCGCCCAAAAATATATAACTTCTCTGTCCAGCAATAGGGCCCAGATTTTGTATTCTCATGGCTTTGAGATCAGTGACAAGTTCAGCAAATTCTTTAGGTTCAAAATCAAATTTTACTTTCTCGCCGCATTGCTTTAAAAGCTTTGGCACATTGCCATAATCGATTACAGCAGGATGCGTAAAATTTGGTAATTTACTCAATTCTTCCAAGAACAATTTTTGCTTCTCAGGCTTGTCTGAAAGTTCGAGGATTTTATCGATATCGCCAATGTTCTTCCTTCTTTTGATATTATTAAATATAGCATCGCGATTTTTAGGATTGCACAAAAATTCTGTATCATAGTCTGGTTCAGACAGACATAATTTCTGACTGGTCACATTTTTTTCTGATGTTTCCGCAGGCTGTTAGAAGCATAATAATTAAAACAGATTATATATAAGAAAGGAAAGCAATTATACAAATAACGATATATAAAGTATTACATACCAATGTTTGTAACCAAGAAGATCGTAACCTACAAAATTGCTTGAGATATCTTTCGAATCTGAATTTCATTTTATATAAAGAAGAATGTATCCATTTATATCACGCTATAAGATATGTTCAATAATAGAAATGTTATTCGATACTTAATATTTTATTGCTTTATAAGTTTATCCGATACTTAATATTTTGTCGCTTTACGTAAACAGCTGTTTACATTTCAGGTCAGGTTAGCTTAGGTTAGGTTAGATTTGCTGTATCTCTGTCCGATTGGCTCGTCATAAAGTCGCAATTAGAATAGGAATTCAGCCGTAATAATAATAATATGATCTGTACATAATATAAAATTGATTATTTTCTCAACATTTTTAATACTACATCTACGAGCAATATTTATTTTTAATTTAAAATAACTTAATATTATATAAGTTAAAATAACTTAAAATTATATAAAATTAATTGTGATGAGAGAAAGATGATTTTTATGATCGTATTGTAATAATATAATTGTGAAATAATTGTGAGATGTATAATATAAGATAATTATAAAGTATTCATCGATTAATTAATAATTAATTCATCACTTTCAATAATACAAATTGCATAAGATACGCGTATAACAAATAAAGTCTACGTCAAACTACGTATTTTGAAGCTTAAAAGATTAAAAATTGAAATTTTAAAACAAAAGGAGCTAAAATAATTTCTTTCTTTTAATTTTCTATTTTCAATCTCAATTTTTAACGCATAGGTTGATGCGAGCTTACGAATTATACAAAATTTGATCTAATTCGATAATAATATCACTTAATTTTTCGCCTCAAGTACTTAAAATATATATGAATTTCAATAAAAATATTTGAGATTTCCTATGTTGAAGATTTATTAAAAGAATATTAAAAATATTTTAAAAATGTTAAAAAAGTTGATAGATTTGAAAACCTGTTTACGATTGGCTTTGCTATAGTTTGACATAAATAGTATTGAAATTTTGTAAATTAAAAAGACAGTAAAGTATTAAATTTAACTCTTATATGTATTATGATTTTTTAAAAGAAATAAAAAAAAGAGCAAGGAGATAATTTCTCAACGCTACGTATAATTTATAAATAAATATAAAGTATATTATGTGTTTATTTGTGCAATAGATTTAATGAGCATTAAATAAAAAATGATAATCATTGAAGAAAGACATAGTTTAGAGATCATTCAGCTTATATTTATTCGACACAACATATCTTCTCATATACACATAAACACACATTAGACACATAGACGTCAGAATAAACATTAAATAGTTTACAACGAGTTTGTTACTGTGTTCTATCGTGAATACTTTCACTATTATTAATTCGTACGATCCACAAATAATATATCTCGGGACCAATTTTATTCTGTTACCATCTTAACACTTATATAGAAGTCGTTTGGTTGTAATAGCGTCACAAGCATCAACAATTCAAATACAACCTTACAGGGAAATTCGATTGGCGATTTTTGGGGCCGGCGTCGGTGTTATTTTAATATGTAAAAATATATAAACAATTATGCGGTCCCCCCCTCTCTTTCCATCCCCCTTTTATTTATTAATCAGCCTTCTTTATTCAAGAAGAAGAGTAGTCATACACAAGTTTCTTTCCTGATTTCAACCGCACAATCATAATACCACTTAAACGTAAGAAATACTCTCTATAAGATGAGACTCATCGTTAAATCTCCTCTTTTTTTTTATCTTGATTATTACACAGGCATGAGAAAATCGGACCCATACACCAGCTTGTTAGATATCTACGATATAACGATACGACGTTAAATATAATAGGTACTTACAGGTACCTTATAGACTGTGACTTTACGATAAACGCGAGAGGCTGCTGCCGAAACTTATAATATAACGATAATACATAGACAAGCGTCGTCCAATACCTTCCTACCAAAGAAATTCGTCGTTATATAATCGAGATTCAAACTGGCGCGAACCTATCGATTTCGTTATTTAACAATGTATCATCATCGTCGATCGATATTCGCCAAATATTCGTCGTTTGCCATTCGACAGAAACAACGATCGATCGGTCCTTCGTATCGAATGCGGGGAAGGTTTTGCACTTTTTCATTGCTTATTGTCTGTTCACAATAGCAGCCGCCAACGAATAGTTCGCTAATTCGCTTTTTTTTTCTTTTAACACACCCAATACGGAAGCATCGTTGTGGACGATGGCAATCGAATAACGCACGACGATACTTGCAGCTTGATTTGACGCACGTGTCCTTACACAATTTTATCCTCTTACATGGCCATTCGTTACGCGCATACTTTGGAAAAAATATGTGAATTAAAAGAAATTGATGAGAATTTATTATATTGAATTCAAACGCTGCAAAATTTTGCATTTTCAAGATTAAAATCAACTTTAAGATGATTAAAATTAAGAATAGAATTTTCCCTTCTCGTTCTTTTCAATACATTAATTATTGTTTCGTACCTCTTTATGCTTCACAAATAGTCAAATATAATTTTTAATTTCTTCTTTCGTAAAATAAATTATTATTATTAAATGTGACGTCAATATTATAAAGTAAAAAAAGTTTATTATAATATATATATATATATGTGTGTGTGTGTGTTTACTTATTATTATACATATAATTATTTAATTAAGAGAAATGTGTAAAGGAAAAATGGTCTATATTCATTCAGTAGAATTGGAAGTTTAAATTGAAGAATACGAAAAATAAATCCAATCAATATTTTTTAATTCGACTATTTTTCGCAAAAACTATTCGCATGGCAGAATTGACACCCATGACTACGAATTTTACCGTACCTTCCGCGATGGCAAAGTAGCGGTCAATTATGGTCACGAGTTATTTGTCAGGTAACAGTTATGTGTGCGACTGGTATCGTATACGTTATTTTGCATTTGCCGGAAACACGTGTTGCGCTACCGACATCGCAGTCGATCCGAGCGACACGTGCTTTACAGATTTCTTTCCTTACGATTTGCTTCGATTAACACAGTCACGTTGATTGCATCTGCAATTCGTACAATAGACCTCGGCCGCCGCCGGCCGAGTCGATATGGACTGAATAGTTACACGAGATTTACATTTAAATAATCGCGGTGTCGCGTATACTTCCTCCAATAAGAAACAACTCCTATACAAAGTCTGCTTTTTCGACGTATAATTCACTCAAGAATGCTGTTTCTTTCTGAATCGGAGGTTCTTTGTGTTATTGAGAGAATAATTTCCTGTTAATCTCTTCCGTTCGAATTAGAAATCTGTTGCAACCAATAATATAACAGCGATAGTATTTTCAACAACAATTCGCCAACTGAAATTATTATCGATAAAATTATTAAACGATTAAATTAAAAGATTCGTCACGTACACGTTTTTTTATTTATTTAGTTATTCTTTAAATTTATAAAATTATTGATTAGTAAAAAATTTATCTTTTTTTGCACTAAATTATTTCTTTGTCGAAAATTATGTCATTTACATAATATTCAATTATTCTATCTTAGATTGGACTCTGGTAAGGTGTATAATTATCTATCAATTCCAACGCAAGAGATTAAAACTAGTACAACCATATAACTGTAATATAAATATAGATATTCTTCCTATGCTCAAGTGAGTGCTTCAAGAGAAATAAAAAGAATTTCCAGTAAAATTCGAGATATTCCGTTTTTAACATTAATTTAAAGTAGAAAACGTTTTAACAATACATGTGAGTACAAATAATTCCTTCCATATCTATAAATTTGATTTAAATATAACGGAAGTATATCTCTCCATACAAATATATAGCTTCATATATACATATATGTGTAGATATTACGTAGGAGAGTAAATCCAAAATGAGGATAAATCCACCGAAGTTATAGGGAATCGGTGTTACAACATCCTTTTTAAGGTATCTCAGCGGCGACAACATTACTTTTACTATATTTACAGTATTTAGAGAAAGATTGAAATATATTGCGATATATATTGTGTTATGCAATATAGTACAATAGTTTAAAATCACGCAAATAACATTGAATCATTGAATAAACGATAGTAAAGTATTATCGATCCTACTGTTATTACTGAAGCAAGAATAATAATAATAGTAATATATGGCGCACAAGGAAATATTTATAATTAAAACGAGAGAATGCAATTAATTAAGAAAAAATTAGATTTAATATTGACACGCGTGCACGGCTCGAAAAATCGTCAGAATTTCGAGATTCGCATACTCTTTTTATCTCTATTTTTCTCAATTTTCTTGCACTCGTCTCCTGCGTTTTGCGCCTTCTCTTTATATAGAATCACATAGACATTTTTAAATATGTATGTATATCGCGACGAAGCGAGCGTTGGCAAAGAATTCGCGAATCGAATTGACTCGCGTTTCGTACCGGGAGTAGGTGGGCAAAAAATTTCTCTTACGCACCTTGTGTAATCGGAATCCGCGGTGGAAAGCTGTAGTGAATTGCCATTAATCACCTATTATCGCTCTTTCCTCTATCGTGCCTTTAGGACCCTGTCGTCTAGTTATACGAGTAAGAATTTTTGACAAGATATATCAACAAAATGCCGGAACATGTCACGACATTTTAATGGAGACTCTATAATTCTCTTCATTACGTCTACATCTTTCTACATTTTTCTATATAATTCTATAATAAAATTTCTGCTCTCGCAGCGTTTTAACACCGTTACAACGCTTTTTAGCATTACGCTCACAATTAGAAATGATTGAATGAATCCAGGTAATAAGCAAACGCGCTATGGTCTAATCACAAATTTATTTACGTGCGACTATCAACAATCGCTGTCTTGAGAGCGCATCTCACGAGTTTAGTAGCTTAGGATCTCAACAAGTATTATATATACTCTATGCTCACCGCCATATATAAGATACTTGATCGTATACACGAATAATGTAGTAATGAGATGCCGATAGGTAATAAATACACGACAATTTTTCAATAACATTTACATGAAGATACACAGATATAGACACGTAGAGATTTTGCATATGTATGGTAGATATAGTACGTTTAATACGGAGATAATACGTTGCTACGCTAGTCTCTATATTGCTTCTACGAACGTTCTATTTTCTCACGGGGTCCAGTCGGCGGGTCTTACCGTCTTTCCAATTGTTAAACAAATAAATCGTCACAACTAGAGTTTCCCGCGGCGAATCCTCATAGAGTTTATCATATAATTCGCAAATTCCGCCAACGCTTCATACTCGGTCTCTATTCTATTCTATTCTACTCCATTCTTTTTCTCTCTCGCTCTCTCGCTCTCTCTCTCTTTCTCTCTCTCTGTCTCTCTTTCTCTCTCTCTCTGCATTCTTTATTTAATTTAAGTACTATTTTCTATCGCGACAAATCCCGCAGAATTCTCTATATATTCTTTCTAGCATGCATTGAAATTCATGGGAGAAACAGAAATTAATCTCGAAGAATTTATCGAGAAGCTCCAGGATTTGCGACAAGCTCTCTCACGGCTTGACCTCCTTTATCTCGGTTATGACGATAGGATCAACGAGTTTCGGTAAATCGTATGCACCAGGGTACACGCTTTGCGCGAAATGTCACATGCTCTTTTTTCCGCGACAAGAATATATTCGATTTCGAAACGTAGCCGCATTGTACGAAGAACACTTTAAAACACCCGACCGTCCTTTTCCGTTGGTTTCCCTGCAGCCATTCAGGGAAACCCAATCGGGCAGTTCTTCTTTGACAAGAGTAAATTTTAATTTTGCAGTGATTCTTGTTACATCTCGAAAAAACGCGCTGGGCAATCGAGATACCGATCACGCGATACCAGTTATCATACCTTTTCTCGTTTCGTTTACATCAATTCGATCAATCGTATTATAACTATTTTACATATCTCTTGATTCTGTAACTTCGCGCATATCATACTTCCAATGTATCTTCTCATGCACTTATTTTTACGACGAGTCTTATGTTGTACGCATATTGAATCTAAGCTTTTACATTTAAGAGTAACTTTTTCATCATGTGTCTGTTCTTTTTTTTATTTTATATATTTTATTTTTTTATTTTATACATACATATATATATATATGTGTGTATAAAATAAAAAAATATATATATTTTGAAACACACATGTTTACTGAACATATCTTTTGCTATCGCACACTACGGCATAACGAATTTTTTAGCTTTTTCGTAATTTTTGCATTATCTTAGGCTTTAGCTCTATCATTATTTGTCTGTTACATATGATATACAATATACTTTTTGTATACTTGACTAGATATCGAGATATCGATGATGCAGAATACACAGAAGTACATTTCACAACAAATTCACTCTTATTACGCCTAATCTCGAATTATGAGAACGCGAAATCTCCCGTGGATTCTCGGACGTTTATAGCGCGATCTGTTTATAGATTGTATATATATATATATATATATATATATATATATATTATTTTTATAAATACCAAGTGTGGTGTTGTGCGACTTTCTCAAATCTATCTTTAAGCGAGATCATTAATCTTTTTCTCCGAAAATGTTGTCCGTCTATTAGGAAAACTTTATCCGATTATAAATAATTTTACAGTATATTTGCCAAATATTATCGAGTGCATGTCAACAATTGCGTTTATTGTCGATGTTTGTAGCTTATTATCATTTATTGGAATAAGTTTAAATATTTCGAACAAGAAATACGATAATAAAAAAGAAGAATAATTATCTCTCAATCATCAATAGTTTTTGGGGAAATATTTAAAAAAAAAATATATATATATAAATTAATAATATATTTAAATATAGATAATACGAAAACAATTTTTCTTTCTTACCATATGTTTGGAAAAGAAGAAGAGAAAACTTACTCATTCCGAAAATAAAATAACTGATCATGTTGAAAACATTTAGAATCACTGTTTTATTGGTCCTCTTCCTCGTTCTGATAGGTGACATATCGCACAGACGATTTTTCGCCAATTATCAACGACTATAATTTGATAGAATTCAAAATTAACGACAAGTTCGATGAAATAATATTTTCTTTATAAAAGCACGTAATATAATATTACCTCTTTTTCTTCTTTGTTTGGCGGCGCCCTTAGGAAATACATAAGGGGCGCGTACATGAAATTTAACATGGCTATACCAAAAAGCATCCACTCGAAACCAATAGTGTTGACCAAAGTTCCACTCAATGCGGGACCTGCAACAAAATAATATTTAATTATTTAGTGACAAATTTTTTTCTTACAAGTCTTTTATGTCTTGTTATCACCATTTTGGAGGACACTATTGATCCTGTTAATCAAATAAGATCTCAAGGATTTACAGAAGCATCGGTGGTTCAGTGGTAGAATGCTCGCCTGCCACGCGGGCGGCCCGGGTTCGATTCCCGGCCGATGCAGTTGTATTTTTGTCAATTTTTGTATAATTAAAGGTATACAAACACATATTTTTTGTAGCATTAATGCTACGCAAGATACAGTTTATATTATATCAATAAAATATCTTATTAGCGTTTGTTTTGCAAATAAATAGAAATGAAATGAAAACGGAAATGGAGTATATATGTACACACCTATAGCAAAGCCTAAACAAAATGCCACGTCTCCAATAGCGTAAACGCTTCCATAAACAGCGGTGTGCCTTATGTCCACCAGATATCCCAGCTGAGGCATCATTGAGCTATCCACCATGCCAATTGCGAATCCCAGACCCGCATTCGGTACGATCAGATGATTGATACTCCTCGCCAACGGAATCTGAAAACAGAAATTAAGTAATCTATGGCAAGAGACCAGGTAACTTTCGATTCAATAAATCATGATTAAAACATAGCTATTATTCGTTATCGAAACTCTGTGATTTATTATTGATTGATATATAATTAATATATGTTTGCAATATTAGCTAATTTGTGATATAATATATATATTATATATTATATAATTTATAATATATATTGTATAATTAATAATTTTGCGATAAATTCTTCATAGTTCCTTAATAAAAAAATAAATAATAAATCACAGCAGTGATACAAGTGAAGGACATTTCATATTTTTTCGGTAAAATAAGTATAGTTTACTTACACACATCAAACAAATACCAATAACAACTAGTCCTATCAGAGAGGCTAACCACCTGTAATAAGCGCATAATGTAAACACTTTAAGTCATCTTACAAAAAGATATCTCGCCCGAACAGGGACTCGAACCCTGGACCCTCAGATTAAAAGTCTGATGCTCTACCGACTGAGCTATCCGGGCGATATATCAACCATATTTAACGATTATTATTATTATTATATATTTTTCGCATTTGAGGAAACAAAAGCTTCTCGTTGATTTTCGCGATTTTTATCAATTCCAACAAACTGACCTGCCCATTTTATGCCCAAGCGGGCCGAAAAGATTCGTTCCGATCAAGTAACTAATGCTCGCTGGTAAAAACGTGGCTCCCTGTTTCCAACGACTCGCGCCCATCGTGTCCATCATCCAGATTGGTAGACTCGGTTCCAACATAGCGATGCCCATATTTGCGAATGTTATTGCGCCTACAACATCGACAATTGTATACTTCTTTGTTCAAGATATCAGTCACTTATATGTATTTTGTATTTGCTGAGAGATTTTTTTTCCTACCAGCTGCCAAAATAATATAAGGATCAGTGACGAGAGACTTTAACGATGGTGGTTTCGTTTCTGTGTACACGACAGATGGTTGAAGCATCAAAAGCTGTAACACTGAAAAGTTGTACAAAAAATTATACAATTTATGAACAATTACACTGTGTTATACAAGCTTTAAATTACTTTTTTAAGTAAACTTTTTAAGTAATGTTCTATCTTGTTGAAAAAATGTTGAATTAGAAAATCTAGTTAAAGTTTAAAAAATAATTTAAATTAATGCAATATACATAATAAGTATTGCAAGCGCAATTAATTATTTACTCACGTCCATCACCAAGGGCTAACGCGGAAAGTACTAAGAATGGGGCAGATTTGCCAACAAATTCGTACATTACTCCGCCAAAGGGGGGGCCGATAAGGACGCCGAGAGCAAGTCCACCCAATGCGATACCCATTGCGTTACCACGTTCTTTATCGTCCTGATACCTCTCCGCTAACATACCCATACCTAAGAGAAAGTTGAGTAGTGTAAAGTGTTACAAGCGTATTACATGTATTCACGTAAATATTACACCGGGTTGTAACAGCATCGGTGGTTCAGTGGTAGAATGCTCGCCTGCCACGCGGGCGGCCCGGGTTCGATTCCCGGCCGATGCAATCTTTTTACAAATTTCATTTCTTTTTGGTAATCAACGTAATATAATTATTGGATATATTCACAGATCTCTATCTCAGGTATCAAAATTTTGCTGAATCTCTTCAAGTATAATGAAGTTTATGTGTTTATTTCGAAAAGATCGAAATAAAAGGATTGTAATGAAAATTTTGGAAAATGATTGGAGACAAAAAAATATATCTCTGCATCGGCCGGGAATCGAACCCGGGCCGCCCGCGTGGCAGGCGAGCATTCTACCACTGAACCACCGATGCTTATACGAAGTTATATGAAATAATTTTAACACACAGAACAAAAGGACATTCTTGTTTTGAAAATATTTTTAGTTTTGACATGGAAATCTTGAAATGAGATTATATTGCGTTAATTAAAGAAAAATATAATTGCTCGAATAATTGCTTACTTGAATGAGCCATTTTATATAGTTCAATCAAGAAAAATATATTTTTATGATTTAAGATTTAATTTTCTTGAATGGAAAAGAAATAATGTTGGATAGAAAATAACATTTTTAAATCAAAGATTATAATTTTCTTAAAGTAGAATTAAATAATTATATATTCTTGAGGTGACAATTACAATATTAAAATAAGACTATAATATTGTTGAAATTTAAAATTATTAAATTCTCCTAAGAAGATTATAAATTGTTGCGTATATACGAAACAATGAACGCGTTAGTTTAAGTATATAAGTTTTGATTTGATACTTATTTTTTTCTGTGCACACACAGCAGTTTTCAACATTATTTAAGGATGTTTTGTACCTATTTTCAAAATATGGAGAATTTAATGAAAATTGTACAGAATGTCTTTACATGTATTTAGAATCTTCAGTATAATTTTTAAATCGATTCACTAAAGCGTTTACAAGGTATAAGGATTTTAATTTGCACCGAATTAACATGTGTTCTTATGGGAAACGTATAACCACGTCGATTCAAATGACAAAAATACATGGAAATAATATTTAGAATTTGTTTAAAATTTGCATAAGTTTAGATACAGAGGAAATATTTGGTCAAATAATATTATACAAGTACTAACTGGTTAAAAAGATATTAAATATAATTTAATGAAGTTAGCCATGTATCTATCACAAGGCGAAATTCTCTGCCAAAAGTTAATCATTTCGATTAACAAAATTTTGAATATTTCAGTAAAAACGCTATAAATATTAAAAAATACATCTCTGCACTGTAGCTAAGATCAAATTGTAATATTCACGCAATTTCTCATACTCAAAATACACCAAAAGTGGATATATTCGTCAATATTGATTTTCAGCTTTTTGCTGCGATTGTATATACAAAACATCCTTAATAATATTGTTATTTCGTAACATTGAGTTTATATGAACGAATAGGAAAATTAATCTTTACCGGAAACGCTGGAACATGACGAACCGATACCCTGAAGAGCTCGCGCTAGAAAAAGTATGCCATAGCTCCGTCCGAAAGCAAAAATCAACGTGGATAGGAACATGATAATAAATCCGGTAAACATAGGTATGCTGTATCCGATTCTGAAAAATAATGAGATTATTAAATATACTTGTAATATATTTTATTTACATTTAATGTAAAGCCCTTTTAATTATGTTAGATTAAAACGAGAGATTTGTCAAATTTTATTTTAAATAAAATTATTAATTTAAATTTATTTATAAAGAGAGAAAAATTAAAAGTTTTGGAAAATTTTTTATTGTGTAGAGAAAATGCTTCAGATGATAATTATTTTAATTTATAAAAATTATTCTTCAAAAAAATTCTTCTAAAAATTATTCTACATACGAATAATTTTATTTCGAAACTTTATTTATAACTTTATTTTTAAATTATTTTTTACCAATCTAAAATATTCCGAGTAAAAATATCACGTAAAGATGCAATGCTTACTTGTGAGTTAATGGCCCGACTATGGGATTAGCTAACAATTGAACAAAAGCTTTAGAAGCGAACATCATTCCCACTGCCACGGTCTCTTCTAGTAATTCTCGATGTCTTTGTTCCTTTTCCTTCATTTCCGGCGATGTAAGATTGGCTACAGCAACTTCTAAGATGAAACAGATTAGTAAAGTATTCATTTTGTGGAGCGCGTCGAAAGATTTTAGGTGAATGGAAATGTCTTCATCTTCCATTATTCCTTTCTCTTTCCTTCTAAAAATGCGATATCATTTTCTATATTTTTCTATTGCATTGAATCAATATATGTAGTCTTAATATAATCAATATGATTCACTTAAAGCATCTGCGATGGAGCAGATTAAAAACAAATTCACAAGAAGTTTATTATTTTGATATAAATATTTTTCTTGATAAAATAAATTTTTTTATTTGAATAATTGAGTCAATAATGCGACTAAGCATATTTTACCCGATATATCCATAGAAGGGGTAGCAACGTGTAGAAATTCCAATTGAGGGAAAGCCGATATATTTGGAGCACAAGGACATTTTGGCGTTGTTGTTTTTATCGTTGTTGTTGTTGTTGTCGGTGACACGGTGGTAGAAGTAGTTTGACGAGAACCGCTTCCTTCCAGATGTTCGCTTAATGTTGCATTGGGATGTTTGATGTCATAGAGAAATTCCGGTATTATTGGAACTGTAAAAATTTATACAGACAAATTAAAATTCGTATAAAGTATCTTTCAATATTATTTATAAAATAAATTATTATTTAGAAAATGAAAAAGTTATAACGGAAAAATTAATAAATTATATAAAAAAATCCTCACTAAGATCAGATATAATTCAATTGTATAAAAGCATATTGTCCTTTTTGTTTTATATAATAAAAAATTTAGTGAGAGAGAGAGAGAAGAACTCGCCACTTCTCTAAAGTGTATTTAAGACGTATCTTGTTAACCGGGGGTGTAACTCAGTGGTAGAGTGTCTGCTTCGCATGCTGAAAGTCCTGGGTTCAAATCCCAGCACCTCCAAGCCTGCTTTTTTTTTCTTTTTTTTTCTGATGACACTTTCCTATAAATTGTGTTTTCGAAATGATAATCAAAATTCTTTAATAATTTTAAAAGAATCGAAAATTATTTATTTATAATACGAATATAAGAAAGCATGTGTGAAGGATAATAAATTTATCAAAATGATACTTGTAAAAATATATGCATTTTATTAATAGAATTTTTATACAATGATTAAAAGTGGATTTCACGATTTGCTCGACGAGCGAGACGACATTCGTGAATATTTGTACGAAACGATCACGATCTATATATGATGTTACATAAATGCATGACCACTTATCCGGATTGGTGGCACGATACATGAAAGTCCATACGTTCCGTCGACATTTCGCGGACTGGTACGATAAACGCGAACGTTTTCTGAATTAAACATAAGATCACGCGACCAAGAAAAGTGGCGTCCGTCGATAGGATTCAAGAGGACTAAAAGCAGCGTTAAAATCGAGTGAAAAAAACCAAGTTAATCATATGATAATGGAAACATTAAATGCATGAACAACAAAATGTTTTTCTGTTTCCTTCTCTTTTTACCACTCGTTATCAATTATTCCGTATATTTACACATCTGCAACTGTAGTATTAAGAATTTTATTCGCTTATATATTAATGATAATTTCAGAATATTTCTCTGATGATTTAATTGTTTCTAAAATTCTAGTCTGTCTTACAATGGACCACGTGATTAAGAGAAAGTGATGAAGTTAATAGGTCTCGGTACTTGACCTACTGGAATTTAAAGCTATGGCCTAAAGAGGCAGCTTCGAAGCCTAACTAAAGAAGAAGCTGCCAGAAAAGGCAATAGAAATCAATTTATAAGTCTGTATTCTTACAATACTCAATCAGTCAAATTAAAGACTAATAAAAAGTTCGTCAATACAGCTGCTGTAGAATCAGCTGATTGTCAAAATAAATATATTATACAAATTTCCTTATCTAAGTTTAAATTCTTACAGATAAAGAAATTGACATAACTGTTTAATTGATCAATAACACTGTATGCTGTACATTAATATCAAAGATACATTGAAGGTTTCATAATTAATTAACGTCGATACGATGTAAACAAAGCCACTCACCTACAGTTGTTAGCAACATATTATCCAAGAGCAGCGCGATGGCGACGATGACGAGAACGAGCTTTCGAGATTGTCGGCATCGTTGCAACCAACTGCTCCATTCTCCACCTCCCATTCTCGAATTTTATCCTCCCGTTGATATTCTGCAACATTAGCAGGAAAATGTAAAATAATATGTGATAGAATTTCGTTAGGGTTCCCTGCATCCCTTACATCGATTCTATTTTCGGTAGAAATCGAAGTGGGTAAATAGAAATTACGGGAAATCAATGAGAGAAAGAGAGAGAAATCCTGAAATTTTCTCTCTCTAGGTGATTCGACGAAACGTCCTTTCACGAAGATGAACAATCGGCTCCCGTATTGCGTTGACACTTTAGCGCGTACATCCCGTGAAGACTTTTTTTCCATTAAGTTTTCGTTAAACTAACTACACTTGTCGATCTCCTTCGAAGAAGCAAAGATCGACAAGTGTATCTTATCAGACATTTCGCAGACACTAATTTCGTATAAATAGTACAGTATCAAAAGAAATGTTTCTTTGGGAAATTACTACGTTTATTGTAGAAAAGATTATTTATTGCTGAAATAATTGCACATACAAAAAAAATCTTTTCTCGCGAAAATGCAACGTTCATCAAGGCGCCAAAAAAGGCACAACATAATATTTTTTTATACTTTGTAACATAATAATTTAAATTTATACGTTGACATCGAAGAAAAGGAACAATACATTCTCCTTATTCAGCGCTATTGCCTAAATCATAAGCAATATTCTCGAATAAAATCAAGTCGCTTTCCATTGGAAGAAGTCTTGAACGAACGGAAATAGGTCTGAATGCCGGAAAAGGCGCATCTGCCTTAACAGAGGATAAAATCGTCTTCGCGCTGAAAACTGTCAATTGTGGAAAGTGGTCAAAATTACGATCTACTCCTTCGCAATTTCCTCTCTCAAATTGCTCGAATCGCATTTCGCTCACCTTTTACATTACATTTGAGACATTATGTTACATATTTTTACATGACTTTTTCGTGCACGTGTGAATAACATTTACTTATTTCATGTATTATTTAATTATTGCCTTGTGAAATGCAATGGACAGATTTCATAAAAATCTTTATATAAAGTTAAAAAAAACACGTGTTATTATTTAATTCATGTAGTATTTAATTATTTCCTTGTGAAATATATATATAACGGATAGATGTCGCAAAAATCTTTATATAAAGTTAAAAAAAAACAATATAAAAAATAACTCCATAGGTATATGTATTATTTAATTATTGCCTTGTGAAATATAATGGACAAATTTCATAAAAATCTTTATATAAAGTTAAAAAAAAACACGTATTATTTAATTCATGTAATATTTACATATTGCCTTGTGAAATATATATATATAACGGATAGATGTCGCAAAAATCTTTATATAAAGTTAAAAAAAAACAATATAAAAAATAACTCCATAGGTATATGTATTATTTAATTATTGCCTTGTGAAATATAATGGACAAATTTCATAAAAATCTTTATATAAAGTTAAAAAAAAACACGTATTATTTAATTCATGTAATATTTACATATTGCCTTGTGAAATATATATATATAACGGATAGATGTCGCAAAAATCTTTATATCTTTATATAAATCTTTATATAAAATATTAAAAAAAAACAATATAAAAAATAACTCCATAGGTATATTCTAAATGAACAATATGTAATTTTAAGAAATTTCTCTTTAACGTAAATTATTTTTCTCTTCATAATGTATAACATTTATACGACGATTGTGAGAACAGCAGTCTTAATTGTCAAAGTTTTTCAGAATGCTCGCTTCCGTTTCGTCTCGCTGGAACGACTCGCTATCGACTCGACGTTCGTTTAGCGCAATACAATTAACCGCATTAATTACAGGCTTTTAATAGTACCTCCACCGCCCTGCCGTTCCGCGCGCGCGATGCCCGCTTCTCTTTTATTCGTAATAACTCGGTTACCCCACGCTTTTAGCCCACCTAATTTTCACGCTCGGCCTTTGAAAAGGCAAGCATCAAAGGCTATTGCAGACTCTCGGCACTGTCTCGCGCGCTCACGCTACTTTACCCTATTTTTATTAAGAAAAGTCGCTGTAAGGCGATTTGAAACGCTATTTTGATGCATTATATCTCTAACAGACACGTCTCTCTTCTGATTTAAAAGTTGAAGATGACTCAACGTATATCTCTCTCTCTCTCGACACGCCTTTATCGATAATCGCATTTCTCAAAGCGAAGAGAATCATCAGGTAATAAGACCGATGAGCGCATCCCCACATGTCCGATTTTTACGAGGTACGCGTACGAAAAGAGATCGGGGCGCTTGGTACCGCGAGATAAGGGGGTGGTTAAGTGCCGATATCACCGTGAAGACGCACGCACGCACGCATACGTATAGAATGGTCACGGGGAGGTCGGGGGAGGGGGGGAAGCTTATACATCTCCGCTGCTGACGAAGTCGAAGATTGATAGAGTGGAAGGCTGGGGGAGGGGGAGAGGAAGGACAGGCAGATGGAGAATTGGTACGGAGGCAAAAAGAGAGCGGGGAGAAGCAATCAGCATTTTCCTGAAAGCCAACTCCCCGAGGACCGCGCATTATTCTCGGAAAAGATCGCTTCCACTCGTGCCACTTATAAGCTCCGCTACCATCCGCCATATCTATCGACTCCCCCTCCGATTCCATCCCCCCAATCTTCGTTCCACGTTCCCTTATTTTCTTGGTAATTACAACGAAGAATGACCGCAGGACTGGTCCTGTTTGTGCGGAGCTTTCCACGACTGATGTTGAGCGTAAACCGGCTATTCCCATCGAGAGAACGTCGATCGATCTACATCATTGCATTTTCCATTCCTAAGGAAATCCCCTTTCTTCATGACCACCCGCCGATTTGTCGTCTGTCTTGCTCCTGTTGCGAGACGCGCGATGGATATGCTTGCTTCTTTAAAGCGCGATACACTTACGCCTTCTTTCTCTTTTTATTTCGTCATCGGGAATTAAGGACTAGGAAGAGAGGATATCTTCATTCTGACAACTTAATAAAAATTAATTTTATATAGCCGTGAGAAAAAAGCACATGATATACGATGTAATAAATCTTTTATTATATTTTTTATCTTTTACCTTTTCTAAAGATATTTAATTTCTAAAGATATTTAATATCCTAAAAATACTTGATTTTTGATATTAATTCAATAATCATATCCGAAATGCGAGGCTTGAATTTTGGAGATTCGATACGAAATACATTCATGTGTAAAGTCAATAGTATAGACACTGGAGACTCGAACGGGTGGGATTCTGGAGAGGCGGTTGACGAGCGATGCGAGTCATTGAAAGGGTTTGACGGGGTGACGGTTTTGCGATTGACAGCTTCTCGGTAACGAAGCTTGATGAAGTGGTCGCGGGGTTCTGCCGACTCATCTCGAGGCTCGTTATGTCAACTCGCGTGTGCGTCATTGATACAACACCTAGGTGTTACCCTGATTACGCTATCGCGTACACGAAATCAGCCGGCCAAAGTTTTCGTCGTTTGAGTTAATAGAAAAATCGTGTCAGCCGTCAGTGCGTGAATTTATTGTAAAACGTGACCACTCTTTACGTGGCCGACGATTTCCGCGCGAACCACGCGACGGGATTTTTCATACAATAAAGGAAATAGAAAGTCCTGTCGTTCTCCGGAGTAACACGCTTCGGAAGTGAACTTATTTCCGCGCGACTGGTTAATCGAAAGAGGAATTTTTTATTATATTCTCATATTTGCGAGATCTTAATGTACATTAGTGAAAATTAACTTTATCGCATACATTGATTGTTAATTAATACTAGTAATTACCGAGAGAGACATACAATATATTAAAAAAATTTCTTATTTAATGTATATACTCGATAATGTATGATCGATAATTTTTTAATGTATATTCGTTAATTAATAATTTAGCAGATTTTTTATATATATTTGTCGACTTTAAAAATATTGTTAAAGACAACCAATATGAATTGTTTGAAATAATCATATAATTATTCGATATTTAATAATTATTCCTATGTGCAATTAATAGAAATTTTTATACGATAATTTATTTAATATATATATAATATAAAAAATTTCTGATTTAAATAATGTATGCTCGCTAATTTTTTAATGTATATTCGTTAATTAATAATTTAGCAGATTTTTTTATATATTATATATATTTGTCGACATTAAAAATATTGTTAAAGACAACCAATATAAAGTGTTTGATATAATCATATAATTATTTGATATTTAATAATTATTTCTATGTGCAATTAACAGAAATATCTATAATTTATTAAATATATATAATATTTTCGTGCACTGGTTTATTCCTTTGTGTAAAGTTGTTGCATTGCATTATATATTTTCATAATTATTATTATATTATTCAATTCTGATAACTAATTGTAGGTATTGAGTTGTGATGCTTATAGGTATAATGACAACTATAGTTAAAGATGAGAACTGGAAGGGAAGCAGCCCTTTAATCAATTTCTCTCGCTATTCCGTAGACAAAGTTACAGTCCGCGTAGGGTTAGTTCCTACTTTAAGAACCAATTAGTTCTGGTTGTTACGGCTCACTATACCGGGTGTATCGTCTCTCTCTTTCAATTTTGCTTTATTAACAGATATTTTGATAATCTTCGATCTTCCTTCACTTACTTATAAGATAATCTTCGATCTTCCTTCACTTAATAAGATACTATTATCTATAAAATATTTTCTATCTCCATATTTTTGATAAGTGATTCTGATTATCTAATATTAACTAATGTTGAATAATATGAAAAATTTTCACCACTTTGTATTTCTATTAAAAATATCACTGTATGTTATATTGAAAAAAAATAATATTATATAATTCCAAACCAGCTCATTCTCTTGAAAGCACACTGAGAAAAAAATTCTGTGTAAACCTGTGAGATGCACTAATAAAGAAAAAATTCCGGGTAAACCTATGAGATGCATTACTAAATGCATCTCACAGGTTTACCCAGAACTTTTTTCAGCAGCATTAAATTAATATTGGTTATATGAAATTTCTACGAAAAAAGAAAATAGCCAAGAATATAATCGATTAATTACGAGAAT